TTGTCAACTCATATCTCCATGTTAAATATTATGCTTCTTTAGATTAGTTGGGTTTTTTTTTTTTTAAAAAAAAAAAAAAACTATTATTGGGTAAGGATGAAATTTCAAATCTAGTTGTTTCAGACATATCGTCCCTTATGTTATTAATCTTGCCACAGTCAGTCATTTCAGTTTGCATTAAAGTTAATTATCTTTGGCCCACCAAGTCCATTTTGTGAAGCTTCCTTATTCCCTGGGCTGTGAAAGGAGAATTCAACTCTGTTAGAAGCTAAGGTTTCCACTTAGGTTTGAACTGGAATTGAATCTGCTAAATCAGGAAAGAACTTAGATAGAGGCATGAACAAATCAATCTTTTGGAATCAGGAACAAGGGATTGGATATTGATAACACCTTGATAATTTTCTGTTCTTCTGCCCCTTAAATGGCAAAAAGAGAGTTACTATACCTAGTCTTATGGGGCAAGCCCTTTACAGTTTACTATAAGACCTTCTCTGCCCTTATTCTTGATTTTGAGAGAATTATGCTATACATGAAGTTAAATGAGGGTTTGCTCCGTTGATTTGTTCAGTTGAGCTGCTCTCCTCATGGTCCTTTAAAGGGTAGTGTTGGACTAATATAGATTGGAAGTGGGATGTATGTAAATCCTTCTAGTACAGGACGTTCTATCAAGCCCTGCAAAAGCTCTTTAAAAAAAATTAGTTTGTCCTCAAGTTTTGAAATGGTGGAAGTCAATTAATTTTAAACCTTGCATTGAATATTCATCCAATTTTAATCAGAGAAGAGTATATTTGGAAACATCTAATCTAATATTGCTTTTGGTTTTTAGTTTTTGTTTTGTTTGGTTTTGTTTGTTAATCTGTTAGTTAACGTGTGATCATACAAAAGAAGTTATATGCCTTATACTTTGCATCTGATACAATACTAAAAGTTATTTTCTTCAATTCTAGGGCTCATATGTTCTCCCCACAAATTTTGAGGAAGTGGCTACCTTTGTCTTGAAGGTTTTGAACAATCTGGCTCTCACAGATATCACTTTTATGCAGCAAATGCTAGTAAGTCACTTTTATCCCTTTCTCCTTTGTCCTGATACTTGCACAGTTGCACCATCCGGGAGCCCCTTGATATATCTGCCTTTCTTTTTTGTTTGTTTCTGAATTGTGCTTGTGATCTATTATCCATTTTTTAATAATATTAGTGTAATTTTTTAGGCCATGCCTGACCTGAAAATGGAATTTTTCCACATCATGGGTTTCCTACTTACTCACTGTACCAATAACTGGAAAGTTGCAAGTGATCAGGTAATTTACAAGTGCTTTTTGATAATCTTTTGTACTAATTTATTGTTTATCATTCTCATCCCAATATCCCCACCTCAGTTTTATACACTGGTGTGCAAACTGCCAGTAATAAACCACCATTGTCAGATAGGTGATTACAATATCTTCAAACAATAGAAATCTATAGTATTATGCCAAGTGGTTTCAAGCTGCAATGTTGGCGTGTGATAATAAATGGCCATGGCTGTGTTTTTTTTTTTTTTTTTTTTAGACTACAAATACATAGCGAATTTCGACAACCTATTGTTATGCTTAAGGACACAAACCAATAGATCTTTAAAAGAAAATCTTCTTGTGGATAAGATGGTATGTCATAGCTTGTGGGCTTGATATATATCTGCCATTTGTACATGGTGTATCCTTAGAGCAACTCCAACAGTGTAAAATTAGGACTAGCTTGCAATTTATAAAACTAATAAATAATTAGCTTAACCATTGGAATTGCATTACCAAATTAGCTGGGCAAAGCTATTTGCTTAGCTAAGCTAATTAGCTTAGCAAATTGTGGGAATTAAAAAAAATTAAATAAATAAAAAAAATTATTGAAAATTAGCTTAACCATTGTGGGATTAATTAGCTACAAGGTAGATTAGCTTTGCAATCCTAGGTGGCATGGCAAGCTAATTTCACAATTAGCTTACCATTGGAGTTGCTCTTATATCTTTGTTAGAAACTTATTTGTGCACATTATTTGTTTTTTTGGAGTTGTTTCCATTCTCATTGTTAGTGGCTGAATGTGAGATTTTCGTATGGGTTAAAATATTTAGAAAATACAAATAATACTTCGTACTTAGGTTTTATATAATTAATAGTTTAATACCCATGCATTTTCTAGGGTACACTTTACTACAATAGATAGTGAAAGGTTAATAATTTCAACCTCTAGCTCCAATTCCTTAAAGCTATAAGAATGTACTCTCTTTCGTTTCATGTTGTTCCATAATGCTCTTTCCACTTTTGCTTTATTCCTTGTTAAGTCACTTAACTCTACATGCTCTCTCAAGCATATTTTCTCCCCTTTTTAATGAATAATAAAAGACGTAATTTCACACTCCTCATTTCCTTGGTAACTGTTTCTATGAAAAGTGGGAAGAACTTTAGGGAACAGAGTACTCCTCAGCAACAATTAGACTCACCTATGTAGAATTATAAGGGAAAAGACAAAAGAGTGATCAAATCAAAAGACACGAAAATTAAGAGGAAATAAATATATGAACAAAGACTTGTAAAACTACAGGATTCAAACCTGGTTATTAAGGTTTTGGATTGCATTGTCTGCTCAAAACAATCACCCAGAACTTAACTGACTACCATTTGCAATTGTAATGCATTATAAAAATTTTCTACTCAATGGACTTGTTCATGTCCCGGCTGGCCACTGATGTTGTGTGTTGTATTGCTTACTATATGTATCACCGTCATTACTACTTACTGTATTAAGAATTTATCTCAATGTCTTTGTGAGGTTATGTTCAAAACTAGATTATGTCTTTTGAATTTATGAAGTACCTATTATTAGCTTCTTTTTTTTTTATTTTTTTTTTTTGGAAACAATACCTTTTATGACTTATTTCTTGCATAATTTGTTAAGTGCATAATAAAATTGACCTAAATGCATCATTCATCAACTGCAGAGAGCTGATACACATACAACCATTATATGTTGTCCCTACATACAGCTCCACTAGAAATTTGACACATCATCAAAAAAAGGGGAGAAATTTAGGAGTCAAATAACTCTTATGGAACATGGGCCTGTAATTGTAGCCAATAAAAACATGACAAAGTAAGGTTGTATGTAGGGACCACATATAACAATTGTATGTGTAGCCTTTACCTCAAGGGGGTGTTTGTTTAGAGGGATAAAAGAGGGGGAATAGGATAAAAGAGGAGGGATTAAACAAGTCTTTTGTTTGTTTAGAGGGATGAAGATTATGAAGGGGGATAGGATGTGGATTAAAAAGGGAGTTATCCCTCCAAATTAGTAACTAAGGGGGGGTGGTATAAGGGATAGGGACTAAATTTAATGGGTAAAAGACATTATTACCCTTAATGAAAGAGAAAGAAAAAGAGGGTGAAGAAAGGATCGTAAGGGTATTTTTGTATTTTTATTAGTTATTCCAATCTAATCCCAACTCATACCAAACAATGGAATACACTATTTTTATCCTTATCCCATCTATTAATTCCACCTTCTTATCCCACTTAATCCCATCCCTCCTACCAAACGCCTCGCAACTGCATAGGCAGTTTCGAACAAAATTTTCAGTGTAATTATGTACACAATATATATGCAATTTATATGACGCTCATTTGCCTTGTCAGGTGGGTATGCTGCTACTTGAATCATTGATGCTTCTTGGGTACTTTTCTTTATTTCACCCTGGAAATCAAGCAGTCCTTCGATGGGGAAACACTCCAACAATCCTTCACAAGGTCAGTGAATCTCTGTTGATATCTCTCTTGATTCTACGGAAACAGGTATTGACATTGGGCCTCTTAAATACCAGGTGTGTGATTTACCAATTGCATTCTTTAGCGATCCAGAATTGATGCCAATCCTTGCTGGAACTCTGGTTGCTGTCTGTTTTGGTTGCGAACAGAACAAAGGCGTTGTCCAACAGGAGCTCAGTACAGAAATGATTCTTTCCCTGGTGAAATTTTGGAAAAGTAGCTTGCCTTCAGTTAGGTCCAAGTCCCCGACAGGAAATCCTTCTGTGGAAGATTCAACTGAGAGTTCTTTGTTAACTCTTGAGCATAAGAAACTGCAAAGCGATGTGTCTGTAAAATCAACCCGTTTTACTACAAGAGGCTCTCGTCTCTCTCTCCCCAAGGGAAATGTTTCTGGGAGTAGTAATGGTAGAAATGGCAAGATCCGAAATCCTAGGGATAGCAGAACAAGTAAAAATTCTGAAGACACAGCTTCAAAGATAAAAAGTCAAGCTTCAGTAGCTCCCACGGTTCTGCCTTTGTATTGTAGGTTTCCACCAAGCTTTGTTGATCGAGCTGAGCAATTTTTTTCTGAGGAACATAATGATAAAGCACCTGCTTAAGTTTATCTTCAGGTTATCCTGCTATTCTTAATTCATGGATCTTATACTCTTTGAATGTTTAACATGATGATCAAGGGATGTTCTGCACGCTTACAGTTTGAGTACCATCTTGGATTCTCACCTCGGTATTCAAGAGAAAATTTGATGTACAATATCATGTACAATCTCAATAACTCATTGGATTGAAGCTTTTGTCTGACCAGCTTCCCCATTTTGCATTTTTATATTTAGAGCTTTCCAAAATGTAATATGTGAATATCATTGATAACCCATTAAAGCTGGGTGCTATGAAAATTGTAGAAAAAACAGTACATAAAGAAATATAAAGCTTTAGAACACAAGGGATACACTCTGTACTCACTCTGAAACCTTGTGCAAACACAATAAAGTTCTAGCAGAAGCATATTTAGCCTGGCAGATTGAAGATTATGCTTATAGATAAAATTATCTCTGAAAATCTAGTGAAAAAAGTTCAATTTACACCATTGTTCCAATTATCCCCTCCCTCTTCTGTTGAGCCTTTTTCTTGCATGGAAACTGGCATTGCAGTTTACAAGAGGGAGAATTTTGTGTCCAAAGCATTTTACAAATGACATATATAAAGAACATTTCAAGCATTTTAGAATTGAAATTTATAATTAATATATTGAAATTTTCATGCAACAATTGCAATAAGATACACTTCATTCATACATTAAATTTCCTGTACTACCTGACAATTGATTACATGTATCCTAGACTAAACAATATTACAGCAAAATCATAATACGCACAAGACCTACTGCATACAATCTCCTACAAAACTCCTTCAAAAAGCTGCTCCAAAAAACATCAGTATGCTCAAACTTAGTGCCTTGAATTTCACTGTTGCATGCTAAGATAGACTCAACAGGTACCAGTGAAGCTAAATTTGGAGAAGTCGGCAATCAATGGTTGTTTCAGGCTGCTATCGTCTTTCTTGTCTTCAGATTCTTCAGAAAAATTGCTGCCAGGTATTATATCTTTCTTTTCTTCAGAATAATTGCTGCCAGGTATTATATCTTTCTTCTCTTCAGATTCTTCAGAATAATTGCTGCCAGGTATAATATATTTCTTCTCTACAGATTCTTTAGAATAATTGCTGCCAGGTACATCTTTCTTCTCTACAGATTCTTTAGAATAATTGCTGCCAGGTACATCTATCAGTAACTCACTGTCATCGTCTAATTTCTCTTCCATTGCAGAACTTTGGTTCTGTACAAAAGGATTAGTGAAATAAAGTTTAAACAGCATAATTTTTGCAATTAAAGAGTAACCATTTTTATCTATAGTAACTCGACGATCAAGGGTAATAAAAAAATTATACAACTGATCATAAGATTTTTTTTTTTTTTTTTTTATTATTTTCTCGTTTGTTTTTCACCTCTAAGTTAATATGTGCCTTTGCAGCTTTGCTTATGTTTTTTCATCAACGCTGCACTGTAATATAATTTAGCTGTCGACATATCTTTTTGGAAATAGGTGTAAAATACTACTATAATGCTCTGAAACAATTCTTGTATTTGAAGAATAACTATGAAGTATAACATACCTTACGCAGTGTCTTCTTTTTATTACTTCTTCTGAAACTGGCCAATGCCTTCCTATATAGCTTATTTTCCATACATCGTTGGGTACGTTGGGCTGCAGTAACAGCAGCATGACATGCCACACATAGGGTCCTCATGTTTTCTAATGTGCACTCACCTGCAAAGTTGAATATAGTGAAAAGGTAGCTCATAGATGACCCCCAAAAAAAAAAAAAAAAAAAAAAAAAAACCCTCATATTAAGTAATTTTAACTAACACAGTACTATGAAATATTAAATTAAACAAATCACGTGGAATTTACATAAAACCAAAGGGTTAAAAATCTACTAGTAGAAAAGAGTGCATATTGTTTTGGAATTTCCTTCAATATAGAAACATTTATACAGAGGCAAAAGTATGACGAACAATAAAAGGAGGTACTGTCTATAAATGAACTAAAATCCTATAAAATTGCAGTTTACAATTGGTTGCATTCTGTATTCAAATAAACAAAGCACCCATCACAGAACTAAACCATTCAGGACAGAAATATAGCAGCGAATGAAGAAAAAACATGCAGATTGAAAGAAATGTACCATACCTCCTCCCATGAACACAGCAATTATGTGATCTGCATGCCAGGCATTACCTTCAGTTGGTTCACGAACAAGTTTGTCAAGCCTGATATTTTCAAATTATGGCATTTCGGAAAGGGGAAAAAAAAGTGTAAGTGATACTCAAAATTTCACAAATGCAATAAACAATGGAGCATATGGCATTTGAATTTTACTGATGATCTATATATACTTCAATTTTTCCTGATAATTTAGAAATACATTGTAGAGTTAACATGTCCTGAAAGACTTAACGTATGACAAATGAGTCTAATCTTACAGAAAATGTCATCATTACCATGTATGCGAAACTATTAAGTACTTGTATTAACCATGACATAAGACATCACAAGCCACAGCTAAAATATAATATAGCATAGTATGATATGGCCTCATACAATTTTCTGTGCTTAGTCAATTGTGGCGCCTCACGCTCGATATACTTCTCTCTATCTTCCACTGCTAATGGTAATAAGTGCTGCACAAGTTTGTGGCAGTCGAGCTCACAATTTGTACAGACACCACGTTCAATTTGAAATAGCTCCTGAAACCCCAAATAACAGTGTTCAAGACATAAAATTTGAAAGACTAGTGTCACATTAATACTGACACGAGTGTAAGATGCGAACCTGACGAAGGTATCTGCCACTAGTCATTGAGCGATACTTATCATAACAGACATTTGAACAGAAAAGATCGAAAAAACCCTTGGGCTTCTTGGAAAAAATACCTCTGAAAGCAGAGAGTTAATTTCAATAATGAACAACTGTAAGAGATCTAGGATACTGCAAAATCATACTCACTGGCAAGGGTTTTGGCAGAATTTGCACAAGGGTTCATCCATTAGTGTCCAATACTGTAAGTGCAATGTCTTCTTCTTTCTACCATCAAGGAGACAAACTTGCTTAAATAATGCATTAGATTGAGGGCAACTTATTTCAAATAATGGTGTATGCCTTCTCTTGCTTCCTCCTTTCAAAAGTCCCTGAGAAGATGCACTAAATATGTTTTAGAAGAGTGTAATTCTGATAATACAATAAATCTATAGAAATTCATGGCCATTGAATGTACATTTCTATCGTGGTTGTTGCTTTCACTGAGACGCAATAGTTCAATGGCTAAAGGTAACTGCAAAGGCTTTCCAAACAACTTCTTCTTTTCAATGTGTTTCAGGTTCTTCCACTCATTTATGAAGCTCACAATAGCAAGCTGGCAAGTAGGATTCTCCTTGATGAAGACAGAAGTCCACTCGCTGGGATCAGCAGAGATTTCCTCTATCCGGAAATTTTCAGATAATGATCTAGGTGCTGAATCTTCTGCAAGATCACAAATGCACAAGTGGACTCTTCCAGTATACTGACTCACCTACAGCTCAGGTAAAGATTATAGTCATTATTCATTGGACAAACAAATTGCAAATTGAAGGTGGACTCATATCAAAACATATTTTTCAGCAACGAGGAAACAAAATTGGAAATATTGAATTTAGTATTCAACAAGATAGAATCAAACATAAATTACCATAATAACAATCCAGGTTAAATCCCATCATTGCCAAATATTATTTTTCGAAATGTAAAAAACACATAATCTATATTTTACAGATATATAAGGGTTTCTTCTACAGCTGTGCTTCAATAACTGAAAATCTTGAAAAAACAAAGAATAGAGAAACCACTACTCTTCCAAGGGTTTCTTCTACAGCTGTACTTCAATTACTGAAAATCTTGAAAAAACAAAGAATAGAGAAACCACTACTCTTCCAAGGGGCATGCGTTACATTATGAAGTGCAAAAGTATTTACTTCCACACAACTTGTAGCTGTGTAGCATGCCTAAGATAGATTTTCAGACAGACAACTTCACTGTAGTCCGCGTTTAATAACACACACACAGACAACAGCTATTGCATTTACCAAAGTGCAAAAGAATATCAGAATTAAAGGGAAAGAAATATTCACATAGATACCCCTGGAAAGATTGAAAGAAGCAATTCAAAAATCTCATCCTGAAATGATTGGTGGTAGTCCGCATTGTTAAATAAATCCAAACTAAATGACCTTCTACCAGACCATTCCATAACTAGCAATTTAATGCTAAGACATACATAAAAGTATTGAATTGGGTGTTGAAATTCTCCACATAGATTTGAATTCTTATTCCCCCCCCCCCCCCCCCCCCCAAACACCAAACTTCAGCAGTTAATGTGGCAAACGGGATAAACTTATTCTTGTTAAGCTGCAAAAGTATATTTGTGCATGAAGTGTATCAATCATATACATAACAATTGAATTGATTATGTATAACACATACAAACTCATACGACTTCACGCACAGATTTTAGTGGCGTGCTAGAATGAGGATACACCAAGTTTATTTGAAAGAAAGGAGTATAATACTTAAATGAAGTAAAAACGTATGTGTAATGCTCACCGCAAAGCGCAGTGAATCCATATTTACTTGGACAAAGCTCTGACTTATAGCCAAACAATCATTCTCTTTAGTTAACTCCTGTGTCACTTTAACCGTTTCATCTGTCTGCATAACATATTGAACATAAGAGTCATCACCTACAAATACAAGATTGATGAAACACAAACTTCTTGTATGAGAATTATATACATGGAATTCCCTAATATATGGAATTCTCTATTCAGAGAGGACCACGAATTATGAAATTTGATAATCTTTTTCTTACTCCAACTACCATAGTGGGTGCTTGCAGGCAAGAAATCTATACATAAAAATATAGAATCTAGTAAAATATATATCAGCACCCTTGTTCAAGATGGTCAGATAATTTGATGAGCTGCCCCCTGACCTTTGTAGATAAAAGAAATATTGAGAAGTCCAGTATCCTTAATTTCATAATAATACACTATAATATGATACACTTCTTACTGCCTAAGTTTATGCAGTGCAATACCAACCATATATTACTGAACAGGTTGTAACCGAGATACAGGTCATATTTACCTAAAACTGGAAACATGTGGAGTAGGAGAGCATTAGAATCTAGACTCAACCGACTTTGAGCTACAATATATATCTAACCCTGTGACATTGTCACTGTCCAAGATGTTTTGGATCGGGCAAATGTCATCCATTAAGGTAATTTTCATGACAATGTGGGAGAGAACCAAAGTATCTAGGTTTAAACCATATGCAATATATATTAAATAGAAAACCCAGTTGAACAATGTCATATAGGAATGAGAGTTTAATGTCAGCAGTTTGGAGGTATAAGGGGAACAGGTCATGTCCATCTGTTATCAGTTCACTTGACTTCCTTAGATTTCTAGTATCCATAAATAAAAAATGACTTTTACCAATGTCCATGGGTTGTGTATCTTTGTAGCAGTATACTTCATTTCTCCTGTTTATTTACAGGGTTTTCTAAATGATGAATAAAAAATTCAAACAAGGGGGGAAGTAAGCAAGGGAAAGTAAAATTCAAATTCCAAGTGTTTTCAGAGCATGTTATACCATGACAATCTTGACATGAGCAAGCCTAAAATTATAAGATTTTAGTACTAAAGCATCATGAATCAGCATGTTACAATTATTGACCAATGTCTCGAGTTCTCATTTACCTACCTTAACATCATCATCATCATACTCTGCTCCATTCTGCTGTACGTTTTCATCTGTTGGACACTTCTCAATAGATGGAGCAGCATAACTTGAATTCACACTTTGAAATAAATTCATGTTTCTGATACATGATACATTATCAACCTGTTTGTAATTAAAACGAATTTCACTTCAAAAGTCTACATAACAAATAGACATCATGCATCGAGGAAACCAATTTCCCAATATTTTTATAACATAATCATATTCTTGGATACTAAAGTTTTGGACAATTTGTAATGCAACTTTTAATCTTTAAAGAGCTGTCCAACAAGTCCAAGTTATAATTCATCTTATAACCCTTTATCAACTACTTGTTAGGTGATAATATCTGTGGTGATGGGAATAATTTATATGAAAATTTGTTAGAGAAGTCATGTTCCAATGCCCATGGTAATGCTAGTTTACCCAAACGTATCTCTTTAGTCATTTACAACCAAAAGTATCAGCACATTGGGTAGCATAACCATAGACATTAGCATGAATTTTTCTTGATTTATATTTTTATTCCTCAATACTGCCTCCTAAGAACCAAGCTTTAAATTTTTTTAGGGTTTTTCTATATATTAACCCTGTTTTTTTTTTACTTTTCTACGTTGTGCCCCAACATATATCACTTTGTACACTGTATATTTTTTGTTTCCATACTGTAACCTTGCCGTTAAAAAATTCCGTTAGTGAGGCCCACTCTCCATTATTAATATTTTTTTATCGATTTGTGCGTTGAAAAATATTCCGTCAAAGGTTTCGAGAGATATTTTGGCCCTTAGGGGTCCAAATTGAGCCTAGATTTGGCAAAAAAAAATAACGTAAATGCCTCGTTTTGTGTGTTAAAATGTGAACACGTAAATCGAGACATTTCTTAATAAGCAAAACAAGGCATTTACGTTATTTTTTTTTTGCCAAATCTGAGCTCAGTTAGCCCCCTAAGATCCAAAATAGCCCCCGAAACCTTTGACGGAATATTTTTCAGCGCGTAAATCGATAAAAAAAATACTAATAATGGAGAGTGGGCCCCACTAACGGAATTTTGTAACGGCAGGATAACAGCAAGGTTACCGTATGGAAGCAAAAAATAGATTGGGGTTACAGTGTAGAAAGTGATATATGTTGGGGCACAATGTAGAAAAGTGAAAAAAAACAGGGTTACTATATAGAAAAACCCAAATTTTTATCTTCCTTGACAATAAATAGCAGTCTGAATTTATAACTCAATTTAATTCCAGTGTCACTCCTCTATGTTCCCTAATCCCTTCTTTTTATACATTATTGAAAATCTAGATAAACATTCAATATGATATCCTCCACACTCTATCTGTATTCCCACAATAATGATCATACAATCCACTGGGAGAAGAAAAGAAAGAGTACCGCAATCTCTCTTATTGCATCATACTTCCCATCAATTGCAGATGAAACACGTTGAATGCTCCTATTCAACTTTCGCCAGCGTGATTCATCAGATGTATCCTAGAGTTCCATGACAAAATTAAACATGAAGATCACATAATCTAAAATAAGGATATGATAGCCAAAAGGGAGAGAGAAAACCTTTGCACAAAATATGTAAATGTTGACTGCATTGGTTTGTCCTCTTCTATGCGCTCTATCCTCAGCCTAAACAAGCAACTGCAAAGGTTAATCAAAGTTCTACTCAAAATCAATCATAATACAGATAGCAAATGTGCTTAGTAAATGACATTGAAAAAGAGCTGTGGCTAAGCTAATAGAAGGAAGAAGTGTTGTTAGAAGATAGGTCTCAAACAGGGGCGATGCAACCACACAGGGCCCTCAAAATTGGATAGAAATAAATCAAGAGACGATAATGACTAAAGAGAAGTGGCACAGTGGTGAAGTGCAAGAGTCGTAAACTGAAAGTCCTGAGTTCAAATCCCAGGATGAGATCTGTTGGGTTTTATTTTTCCTTTCACATTTCTTTCTTTCCTATCTTCTTTATGATTTCTAATTCCCTCCACTCCATGAAAATCCTTTATAATAGACCAAACCAAATTCGTCAGTATCTATAGGCAGTGTTTCAAAACCTGTGCTCTTGTCCGTATCAAGAAGGGGGTGTTTCAACCACCTGTGATCTTGTCTGTATAAACAGGGGGTGTTTGAAAAACCTGTTTAACATTACATCCCATGTTTCACACAAAAGTTACTTCCTATTCAGAGATATAGTGAAAAATTCCCCATGTCTCCCCACTAAAGGCTGTAATCCTCTACTAATCTATTGATTCTATTTTAAATATTCTAATCACATACAACTACAATAAAATCCTAAAAAGGTTTGAAATCAAATTTGCATTGTGACATTCGTGACATGGTCTGTGATCAACGCATCATATGTGTTCCTGCAATCACAATGAAACCGTATCTTCAACTCATGAAATCAACCACAAGAATTTACACATCCTACAGTAGACATGTTACACATTGGTCCATTCCATGCTCAAAATTGAAGGTGTTGGTTTTTTTCTATAGAAATCAAAACACATGTTTTCCTGCGTACCCTTATATGCTTCATCTCCAAAATAGTTCAAGTTAAGAGGGAGAGTCCAGACGCGTCATTGTTTCCTACTTTCATTATACGATTTCATCCTTCTCTCCCTCTCATTTATTTATTTATTTATTTATCTCATTTTAAAAAGAAAACATTATAGAAAGGGAAAGAAAAAAAAAAAGTGTGCAACCTTTGGAGTGAAAAATGTTACTTCATGTTGCAATTAATTTCTCACATTCATCATAATACCGGTCAAAGATACTCACAAGAAGATTTCACAGATAGCCAAAGTCGTGCTACATAGACAACTTTGTTCCAAGCCCTCACTTTTGAAATGAAGATAGAACACAAAAGCTTCAAAAGGAGCATAGTCCTCTTGAAAAAGGATCTATTATTTCAACCAAAGTCCTAAAACGCTAAGCACAATTAGAAAGCAAACATGCACACTTACATAGAAATTTTGAGAGTATAGCGCACAAAGTCACTTGTGATAGTCAAAGGTGTGCATTGGAGACCGTAAAAAAAATAATAAATAAATAAATTATACATCTATGGACTTCAGCACATTATCAATTACCAGCTCAACTATACCTGCTGCAAGGAAGTTGGGTCTTTGGGTAGCTCCAGAAATACCACATTACGAGCCACTGAAAGATCCAGTCCTGCATAGCCAACTGTAATTCCGATGATGGCAATCTTGACCTACATCACATAATTTCTGAATATAAATACAGGATATCAAATCATTATGCCAGTCAAAATTTATTGTCACCTTTAAGATCACTATAATAAACTCATTCAATTTTGATAATAATGCACATTATCTGGGTTGATCCATTCATCATTTCAACCAAATGTATCCATCTACAAGTATAACAGCTTCCATAATTCTTTTTTATTAAATTCTTCAAAACAAGACAGGATGATGACGTGTTTCTGTAGTAGAAACTAGAGTAATTGTAAAAGCATGTCTTTAAATAAAAAAGCATGCTAAGATATTTCTAAAACTTTGCTAGACATGAAAATTAGAGGGAACACTGGCACTGTGGTCAGCACATGGATAGGAAGACATACACACTGGTCACTGTGGTCAGCACATGGATAGGAACACATTGAGCTTGCATACATAGAATGAACTCATAGTAAGTTGGAAGGAACAATCAACTAAATTCTAGAGGCAAATTCAAATACAGTGAAAATTGCAAAGCATCAAACGATGACAATATATAGAGCATAAGTGAGGATAAAGAGCATAAGTAACCTCTTTTGATGACTGAAATGACCTCACAGCATTTTGCCTGTCGCAATCAAGTATATTACCATCAATGCGTACAAAACCAATGCCTTTGTTACAAAGGAACGCCTGAAATTGGGTAACCATTCATAAGAATAAACACAAGAAGTGTATACACATAACACTTCCAAATAGCTAATCTTTTCCATTTAATCTTAGATTTGTTAACTTCCTGCTCAATTTAGAAAAAAAAAAAAGATATAAGCCTTATCTTAGGTTTAAATGGGGCTTTCTGTTTCATGGAAATCGCCATGCCCCACAGATTTATCAATTACCATGGAAATGGAAGTCCCTATGTAGCTTGCTACTAAAGGGTAGTTTCTTAACAGGAAAAGAGGTGGGGTAAAAGGAGCGAGCTAATTTCTCTTAACTATAATGTACATTGGTCCATGAAAAGGTGGTCCTCTTACGAATGAATGGATTCCATTTTATCATTTTGCGGTTGCTGAAAGTAAATTTATACAGCCAGAGAACACAACTATCACGATATATTTGCAGCTTTAATAATGACATAACAATTCCATCATTTTTAAAGTTGGTGAGCCAACATTGGCAACACCTGAAGCAAGAGAAAAATGAAGAGCCCCTCACCTGTAATTTATCTAGGACCTTGAGATGGTGAGCAAATATTATCATTTTGTGAGAACTCGCATCCAGCTCGGTATTATTTGAGTCACCTGCTTCGGTAACAATAGGGTGAAGGGAAAGCCACTCAAAAAATCCAAGCACCTTAGAAATACCAAGCACTTGATCAGAGAGCTCTCGGTCATGCCCTCCAGTGTCTGCAGCAAAAAGAATCACCTCAAAGTGAGAACCATCTATCTGGTGCCATCATGAGGGATCATAATTCAATTTGAAACCACCAATGTAGACATAAATGATTGACCTATTTACTTTACTAACTTATCACATTTACCATACCAGCACATACTAGAGGAAACAAGCAAGAATCAGTCTAAAATTAACTTTGATCTGGTTGTATATACATTTTTGTAAAAAAATAAAAACCTTATAATATATCATTGAATTTGCAACGGATATTTTAAAGCTTAATACTATTATACTATATTAGAGACTGATAGTATCCTTTTTATATTAAAAAAATAAATAAATAAATAAAAAATAAAAAAAAAACACGGAAACAAGGTACAAATATCATAACAGCAGAAAAGAAAAGGAAACCAACCCCCGCCCCCCCCCCCCCCCCCAAAAAAAAAAAAAAAAAAAAAAAAAAAAAAAAAAAAAAAAAGCCTCAAGGGATCAGAAAGTACGAGTGTAAATAGAGTAGAGGGAAAGCAATTAAGCATCTTTGGATTGTAGTGATTATGATTTATGACAACCAACCAAGCAAAGATAAATGTAAAGAATCATTACATTTCAATAAACAAACCCACAAACAAGCAAAGACTCAGTGAAGCCTTTGGAAGGCTTTCACATATTTATAATTTCTTTTATTATGAACCGACAAAGAAGACACATGTCATTACTCATTAAAGCCTTGATGGCAGTTTGAAGTATTATTCTCACATAACTTGATTTCCCAAGCTCTTACATGCCCATAAGACCATGGGTAAATGGAACATGTACATCTAAAAGCTCAAAAAGATGTATTATTCTCATATAGCTTGATTTCCCAAGCTCTTACATGCCTATAAGACCATAGGTAAATGGAACATGTACATATAAAAGCTAAAAAAGAGTACACACATGTATTTATCCTTATGAGCTGCAGTGTAATTAAGGCAAAGCTGAACTTGAGCATGATCACTCCAAATCATAAGTAAATAGGAAAAGGACACAATACAAAAGACAAAATCATGACATTGCAAATAAATTTAAATCTTAGAGTTATATCGTACCGTTATCACCATCTTTACCAGCATGATTAGTATGTGACTCTCCCAGATTTGCCACAACATTCTTTGCAATAACAATGTCTGCTTTTTTTAAAGATAAGCTTATAATTTGTCTACGTTTAGGCGGTAACTGCACTAGCAAATGCTCCTTCAAACGACGTATCTATAAAGCAGAAGCGAATATAGGTAAGTTGGATATATGTAGTCTAAGAAATATCCAAATTTCAAATATCAGCAGAAAAGAAATTGCAACAAAGAAACTCAAAAGTTTATCAACCAATAAACTCTTTACTAGTTACATGCATATGAACAGAGTATATACGATGAAAAAAGCTCAATAGATCCATGATCAAGTAGAGAAGAGAGGAACACCATGACAGTTTGTCTAAGTAAAACATTCAGCTCCTCCAAACGGGTGCCCCTTGAAACATCCTAAAACAGATGCAGGAAGATTGGGTTAATTGACTTGCAATAATTACAGAGACTTGTAATAAATTCTAAATTAAATTACTTCTACACAGCCAAAACTTAATAATAATTACATTTGTGGGGAAAAAAAAAAAGAGGATCACTTGTTCTCTGCAACAAGGCAATCGATACAAAGAGAGCCCTGGGACTTTGGGAGGTGAACTCTTTCACGAACAATATCACGAAAGTATTATTAGTTATAGCCGAATATAGATTTCATGTGTCAAGCCCAATTTTGCGTTGAGAATGGCACTAGTTCTTTAGAGACGAAACAAAATGTTCCAAAGGAGCTCAATCTAGTTTGGATTGAATTTAACACCAAGTACAAGCTAATATTCTAAGAAGAAAGGAATACCCTGGATAGTGGATATCTTAACCAAACCAAGTACTGCTCCAATTATGTAGGTTGATTACACATAGACATTTCTTCCATACAACTCAAGTAAAGACTTGCCACTGAATGTACGACAATGTACATATAATACACTTTAAGCATTTTAAAATGTGTCTTAATCTATATAAACAAAAGATGGATAACTCATTCATTACCTAAAAAAATAGTTTGAACAAATGCTTAATTTTTAAAATTTACGTAGTTCTTTTCCTTAGATAAGGATGAGGTAATTGAAATTCAATGAAGGATACAAACTTTACCATGAATGCCTTTCCTTTATGATTGTTGATAAGTTTTGCAGAACAATAAGTATTTGCATACTCATACTTGTCCTTACCCAGCAGGCCAGGCCTAAAAGAGAAAAAATCACCTTAGAAATTCACAAGGCAAGGAAAGTTAGATTTATGCAACATAAGATAAAGAAGCTCACCATAACATATTTATCTGATGATAAATATCAAATGGCCTATGATCACCTAGCAAGAATTTCACTGTTTAGACATTCACAGAAATTAAAAGAAAAATATCCACAGCATGACAAGATTATAAATAGAATGCCAAGACTTTATGAAGATAATGCCATTAATTGCACTGTTGAAGCTTTGGCTGCATGTGTAACCTTGACAAAGATGGTGTTCCTGACAGCAGAATTATGCGTTTAGCCTCAGATGCCACATCGAGAACAGCTTGTATCTATTAACAAGAAAAGGCATCAAGTTAAGGTGTATTATTGGGCAAAAAGCAATTAAGGATACTACATAATAAATGACTTGCAGTTGGATCATTTGCAAATGACAAAACCCAATATTTTAATAACCATGATACATAGTATCTAATTTCAAGCAAAAGAATGGTAGCGAATGGGCCTTGTACAAATTCTGTTCTTCATGTCCAACTCTGTTCAGATTTAAAATTTCATCGCATTGACTAATTTAGACTAGAGCACTGGCAGCCAAAATGGAACATTAATAATGAAAAAACAAAATTGCTGTGGCACAATATATTTGTGATAACTTGGACGGGTAGATACCCATCAATGACTACTCTACATTCTATCCCGTCAAAAAAAAAAAAAAAAAAAAAAAAAGAGACTACTCTACATTCTAAAGTAAAACGGTAAGACTCAGTTCAATTCACCTTACTTCAAATCAGATCAAACCACTGTAAACAAGAGAGAGAGAGAGAGAGAGAGAGAGAGAGAGAGAGAGTTCAGATCATATCACATCACAAAAAAATTAAAAAATAAAATAAAATAGATCATATCAATATAACTTATTTTACACATTGTTATTGTTGTAAGCCAATATAATTCATTGATCATCACTCATTATTGCTAGCTTCTAAAGAGAAAATGCCAGAGTTCCGCTCCCATTTAAGAGATGTAATTTGAGCTTTAACAAATGTTCTGTTAAGGTAATCTCTCCTCTACTTCAGAACCCACATCATGAGGCTCAACAAGGAAAAAAAAAAAGAGAGACAGCATATACGTTTCCGAATTCATAGGCATGTCTTACTCTATGGGAAGGATTACTTAAGAAAGAGGGTTGAATGAATTTTTTTTCCACGGCAAACTGAATATAATTCTAATTTATCCACCAAACCCCTTAATGACCCTAAACTTCTTGGGTCTGCATAAATGGATTGCTCTTGCTCAATCAACTTTCTTCCTCGTAATGTTGCCCAAAAATCAATAAAAATGACTTAACCTAATGGACATACTGCTTTACCTTCTGTACCAACTACCAAAGGGACCTTTGCCATAGGCGACAGGGAATGATTTGATGATACCCTATTGCACTTATCAATTTCTAGTAGTTTAGGACTTATCAAATTCTAGTAGCATAGGAAAATTGCTGATACAATATTCACCTCTGCAAGAAAGTTTAGCTCATAATAGGCAGACCGCTCACAAAATCACAAGACTGTTAAGTCGACTAAACATGTCAAGCTACAAACTTTACATTTGGTACTCAAAATTTATAGTCGTCAATACTTGTGACACAAAGTTAGCTTCACTATATGTATAAATAACACTGGATGACTACACTGCGCTTTTCTTAGCACACCCTAATCAAATGCCTTATGAAAAAGTTTAACATTGGGTGGATGGGTATTTATGGTTGTTTGTGAGCTCAAGAGCATGATCATGCATTCATGCACCCATCTTCCATTCTTTTCATTGTCATCACAACCTCATCAATGCCAAAGATGAACTCTTTTCTCTTCTCAAAAGCCCTTCCAAGCTCAACCAACATGATTTACATGATCTTATCCAACTTCCAGCTACACCTATCTGAATACAAGAATCAAACTATTAATGAGCAGCTTGAGCCAGGCTTAGCTAAAACTTGTTTGTGTTTGTTTAAATATATGAATATACCAATTTCAAAAAAGTTTAAAAGCTCAATTACATTAAAATATGAGATTGACCACAGATAGATTTGTTACTCATGAACAACAGCAAACAAAATAAAATACGTATGATTTATGTTCATTTCAAGACTATCAAGAGATAATTTGGAGGTTTTTTTGTTCATTTTAAATTCTTTACAAATTTCAAATTTTGGTTTCATAACTAATGCACCGTGACTATCGATCAATATCTTTGAACCTTTAATTCAGACATACATGCCAATAATGAACATATTTTTAATTTTAATAGAAAGCTTAAAGTTGAGCTCCATTACGTTAAAAACGCTTGAGCATAAACAAGATGATACTCAGAATAAACCACACCCACTAAAATGATGTTGTCACTTCAAACCCTACCACTCAATCTTCGTTCTCTTCCCTTTGATTATACTACTTTGGTTACACTGTAAATAATGCCAATATAGAACATTATCAACAAGCCATATATAATGCCATTAGAAGTTGATCTCTAGCACTATAATTCTAATAAAGACTTGGTGAAGCTTCTCAATAATAAGACTCCACAAAAACCCAAAGCATGTCATACATGAAGAAGCTCCCATACTTCATGAATAGGGTCCAAGCACATCATCCCACTCCATCTCACCCGTAGCAATAAATTTCCCACCCTTCACGACTCTAACATGGCCTCAATAATATTCTTTTGAAACAAAAACTATAAAAAATAGTGATCAATAATTTTCTTCAGAATGGCTTCTTGATGCACTGCACTCGTCCTTTCAGCCTCTAAAAGAAAAGGATTCATTTCTCAATAACGAAAGCAAAATAAACCCTTAAGAAGGAACTCAAGTCTCAACAAATTCATTGTATATGGTTATACGTCTCAACCTCAGTTAGAATAACACTCATTTATTCTAGCTCATCAAGCCCCTTGTAAACTGCCTATTTCCTTACTCAAACATAACAGTTTCATACTTCTTTTCAACAAACATATAGCCTAAAAAACTGCACAAAAGAAAGCTGCTTCCAAAGATATCAATGAAAGAAGAAAGTCTATACCATACTGAATCTATTAGAATAGAAGGCTATTTAGATATTAATGGCTATGTAGTTTGGTATGAGCAATCGGCATAGCTTTAGCAAATTAGCATTATAATCAACAGTGAAGGGGAAAATACATCTAAAAAATGAAATAAACCAACACACATTATTACAATTGTCTAACTCAAGCAAAATGTTTCCACTATAATATAATGAGCAAAGAAATTTTGAATAAAAGGAAGCATGATAAAAAGTCTAATTGAGTTTTTAAAAAAAATTATAAAAAAAAAAAAAAAAAAAAAAAAAACACACCATAAAATTGTTCCTACATCAACTGCAATATCAGAACCTAGCCCCAATGATGGTTTGGCAACATGAACCAATAATATATCTTCTGTAATCACCAACCAAGATCCTCTCCCTCCATTACTCTTATCAAAATAGTGATATAATTCAAGAATTTATCTACAGTCAAAATATTCTTGTCATTGAAAATTGTTTTTAAATGACTTACACCATTTCACGTTCAAGATCATTCCAGAAATCTGACATGATTTGATCAGAGGTAGTAGATCTTCTTCATGGGATCCAGCTTTTTTAAATTTCTAATTTTCATGGTATTACTGGAACTAGAAACGGGGAGCCACTTTTCCCCATTAAAGAAGAGATGATTATAAACGAGGGATAGCAAGATATTTATATCTTGATTAGATAAAAGGGTTTGCCTACAATTTTACTAATACAAAGGATACCAATGGAATTCATATTCAACAACCCTAAGTTCAGAACATGTTCTCCTCCAATTGAAATATATTTTGACTTGATTAAGGCGTTCTAATCTGTTTTAGTTAAGGTCTGCTCTGATCTGGCTTCTATCTCGGACTAGATTTTGACCGTAATGTATAAGAAAAAACAGTACCTTGTTGAATTTGTCTCAATCTGTTTTTTCATAAATCTCTTGTTTTTTTTTTCCTCTACAATATTTAGTCACACGATCATATATATTATAAAAAAAAAAAAAAAAAAAAAAAAAAGTAAGTAATTAGAAATAAGAAGTTTAGGTTTAAATCTTTTGGGTTCAGTTTGATCCAACCTTGCATGATTATAAAAAAGAATTAGTAACAAGTTTCCGAAATAAGATAAATAGAATATGACTCAATAGAATATGTTGGAATATGATTTGGGAATCTATCAATGCTAGGCATAAAAGCTAAGGGGATAAATTAATTGTGTTAAGCAAGGAACCATTGGATGGGTCAACTTCAACTGGGCATATCTCTCAAACTACTTGGAGTTTTGAGGTGATTCAAGTTGGAGATGAAAGCTTGTTTCAAGAGCTTTCCAATGATAGGTCAAATGCTTAATTCCAATAAGAAAATAGAAGTTATGGATGTTTTATTGTGAGCTGTCTGTGCTGACCTGAACAAGGCTGCACATCTGTGCCGAATTTGGCACGTCCGTGCAGCTGCAGTTCCAGACAATCAGTAGCTTCTGGATTCATTTATCCTACGTGCCAACCTGATACTCTGACCCACTTTATCGAGGATATAAATACCCAATTGGTTTTATTGTTCATCCACAAATTGAGAGAGACACATTTGAGAGGTAGAGTTCTTGTTTTGTAACCCTTGTGCTTTAGAGTGGAAATTAGTGGGAGATTACTCTTGTAAACCATAATTAAAATCAATACAAACATTTGCATGAAGGATTTTCAGTTTTTCACACCTTCCAATTTCTTGTCTCTTTTACTATCAAAATTCTTAATTGTTCTTTGCTAATTACTTCAATTATCAACCATTTGCTCTAACAGAATAAGTTTGATGACACTATACACACAATTGTGCAACATAACATTACTCTTATTTTTAAAAGCACAAAAGGAATTTAATCCAACTAAATGTCAGCTCTAAATTAGAGATATATCCTTTAGGGTGAATATCTTAACTCTTAAGGGAATTGTTCAACAAATTTTAGGATAAAAAAATTACTTTCAACAAATTTTAGGAGAATGTTATAACCCTTAAAGGTACCATGAAACACAATCAATCAATCAATCAAAGTCTTAATCCCATACTTGGGTCAACTACATGAACCAAAAGTGATTATTTCATGCAGTCATCGACAAAAACCTTCCTCTTCGATCCCTTACAATCAAATGTTTCATCCTCATGCAAATCTATATACTTCATATTCTTCCTACCTCCTCCCAACCAAGTCATTTTCAGTCTCCCTCTCCCTCATTTAACCCCTCCATGGTCCTACTCTTACACTCTTCGTACCACTGCTCCCTCGGGTCTCCTTCTTACATGCCCAAACCAACGTTGGAGATTTTTCCTTAGTTTGGGTGCAATGCCTGTCACACCCACGTTCTTGCAAATAACCTCATTTCTAATGCTCCATTGAACACAATAGAGTATTAATACGTGACAAAGCATTTTGAAATGGTGTTCAATGTTAAGGGGCTAAAGTTTTTGCTAGCATACCGCCTCCTCGTTTAGAGGGCAAAAACTTGAATGGATCATGGAAGAGTAATAAGCTTCCATCAACACTCCATTTTCCATGTCAATTCTTTTAAATAAACATATATATAAAAAGTAGGAAGTCTTTTTTGGTAGTAAGAATAGCATACAACCACAAGACAAGAAATCCTTAAATTGAAAATATAAAGAAATGCTTCTAAAGTCCTACGACCACAATACTAATATCACAATTTCAACTTTAAATTTCCCATACCTATTAATTATCTATTAAGTACTTGCAAAAGTGGTGCAAGGAAAACAAAGGCCCCTAAAACAAACCAGCTAAGACAGCTGAATAACAATGTTAGGTTAAAAAAAATTAAAAATAAAAATTAAAAAAAAAAAACCCATAGTAGCCTCTTTATATAATAACATGATCTGGGTCAAAAAAAAAAAAAATCTAATCTTCTACTCTATAAATGATCCATTCTTCTCATAACAAGTGTTTAGAGCTTACAAACTCATGTTATTACGACTTAGATAACCAACTGTAGCAAAATTATGCAACTAGAAACAAAATCTAGGATTGTTTAAGCCAACATACAAAATTACAGCCAAGTCATGTGCTCACCAACAATGTTCCGATAAAACAAGGGAAATGTAATAATCTACCTCTCCAGGCTCTGATTTCTTCTTTGAACATCGTATATGATGTGATTCATCGACTATCATGACACTCCATTCCCATTTCATTATACTGTCTCGCAAGCGTTTAAGCATAGTATAAGAAATGACAACAACTTTTGGACGTCTCTTCAAATGCACAGGATTGTCTTTATAACCAAATACTGAAGAAAAGATATGTACAAGTGTTAAAATCAAAACAAGACAAGCATCACCGCTTTTACAATTTGATCTAGTAAGAAGAAGCTAAAGCAAGCAATACTTATCAGATTTCCAATAACTATAAGTTATACTTCATTCAATCAAAGATTCAAAGGACTACTTTTGCATTTGTGACAACTTTTTTTTTTACGTAATGTAGAAATTCTTTCATCATATAATATGCCAAAAATATATGTAGTTAGATATGGGATAAAGTGGTGAAAAAAAATCACAATGCTCCCATATTTGTAATACACTTAGGCCATGTTCTATTCACCTTTATTTTCACTTATTTTGAATAAGTTCATATGACATAAATTCGGAGAAATAAGTATAAGGGTAACCCAAGTTCATTACAAAAATATGTTTTAATAAGGTCTAATAAGAAAATCAGGCGAATAAAACACACCCTTAGAGGATGAAGGAAGTAGATCAGCAATTTCTTTCTAAGGTGGATGATATCAAGCAGTCTTTTCTTTAAAAATAAAATTATAGTAAAAAATAAAAGCCAGAAGCGACTCCCAAAATCGCAGGCAGTAGCTAATAGGGCTACTTACAACACACCCTACACACGCGTAAACCCGTAATGAAAACAAAAGCAAGCACGTAAACTCTTGTCTGTGATTATAATGAAGTAAGGACCCTAAGAGCAATACATCTTCTAGCTAAAAAGTGGTATACTTATGTATCAACATGCCAAAAATTGCAAAGCCATATGTTAACAAAAAGATAATAAGAAAGTACTACAACAGTTAAGCTCATCATTAAATGTTATTATGGAAACAAGATACTGGTAAAATGAACAACGGATCATAAATCAGAAGCCAGTAAGCCATAAGCAAAGAAAAAAAATGGTCTTTAAACTACCTAGGCAAATAGCCAATCTAAATAGTTATCATTCATTTACAAAGATATTATTTGAGAGAACAATGATGAGTCCCAGGCTAAACTCTCTAATCCAATCAGAATGCTATGCTCTAACCATAGTTCATCCAATGAAAATGATTGCCATTCCTAAGAGGACAGGAAAGATCTTAAGGTGCATTTAACCCCACCAATATAGGCTTCTTAGGCCCCGTTCACTTCAACTTATTATTGTTGAACTGAAATTATTTTTACTGAAACAAAATTATATTTGCTGAATTTAAATTACTTTTACTGAACTTAAATTAATTTTACTGAAGTATAATTATTTATACTGAACTGAAATTATTTTTACTGATTTTCTACTATAATTCTTCTTTAAGATAACTGAATTTTACTGAACTGGACTTATTTTTACTGAACTGAACTTATTTTTACTTAATATTATTTTTTTAAGGTGAAATGAACAGAGCCTTACAGGGATGAAAGAGAAAAAGGAGTATTAGCTAAAGAAATTAATAGTAAAGGTCATCCAGGACAGTACCGAGATGGATATCAGCTGGCAAATAAGAAGGAAGCCAACGCTCCAATTCTTCAGCCCATGCATAGCGCAAAATAGCAGGGCAAACAACAAGTATTAAGCCTTCATTGGCAAAGCAGCTTGCAATGGCAATGGCCTGAAACCAAGAAAACATCATGTAAATGAAGTGGACTACATCCCCGCAAGAAACAAACAAAATAACAATGTAATATATAATCATTCAATTTATAAAGCCTTCCTCGGATTTTGATGATCAAAACATTTTCCTCATTTGGAAGTTGCTAATAAAATGTAACATCAATAAACTTAGCTAAGGTTCTCTCTATCTCTCTCCTTATCACAAGAATCCCTCTTTTTATCCATCTTTATCTCTCTCCTCTACACAAGGGCTCCTAAACAATGTATATTCCATATCACCAAATTAAACTTCATGAGCACATGCAAATTATTTAGGCCACAATTAAATATTAGGATCATCACAGGTTCAGGTTACAGCATAATACTCATATAAAAGAAGGGACCAAAAATCAAAACAATAAGAAAGGAAAAAAGCATACGACTCCAAACCAAGCAAGAAAGTGAGTTGATACATCAAAGCTCATGCTACCTGAAGGGTCTTGCCAAGCCCCATTTCATCAGCAATAAGACACCGACCCCCCCTTTGCAATCCAAATTTTAGTCCATCAAGCTGAAAAGGCAAGAGAGTATCCAACAATTTTCTTGGCAGCTTCTTTATCAGTTCCTCAACCTTCTCATCAGACAAATGCTCAGGCCTACACGGTGTCCATTTTCCAGGCATGAGGGAGTGAGAAAGTTTCATCATCACATTATAAGTTGTCCATGGTATTTCTTCAACTTCTTCAATGTCAATGCAGTTCTTTAAGCATTTAAGAACTGCATCGTAATATGTAAGCTTATAAACAGACGCCTTCCCACCACCATGGATTTGTGTATAATGTGTCGAAATAACCTAGTCAAAGAAGAGAACACGAAACAACACAATTCAGGGAAGTTTATGCAGAAACTAGAATAGCTTCAACAATCAACACACATTGCTCCAGCGTAGTGACCACACTTAAAGACACCAACTCATAGCTTCACATTGTTATTCATCATACAGAAGCTCAGCAACCACCATATAAATAATATTTTCAAAGAAACATTGTACAGATGATTGTGCATTGTTAAGGACAAATACAAAGTCACAAACCCTTTCACTGACAAATTAATTAATCGAACATCCAAGTTTGTTCTGTTCCCGTTCATGATAAACTCTAGAAATGAAATCTGAAGACAACTTAGCATAAATAGAATCAAATGCAGCAATAATCATCAAACATAAAAGCATACAGGTCCAGCAAAACACAAATATAGAACAAATCAAGCTTAGTATGAACTGCATTCTCGCAACAAACCAGGGTTGCAGGATGCCACGATTAGGTCAATTACTATCAAACAAGAAGGAACAAATGTCAAGCAAAACACAACTTCAATAAATCAAAGTTGCCACTAATTATTAATTTCACAACATAGCTCACACCGCGAAAAATATACAACAAATTTTGTTCATTCAAACACAATTGGATAATACTTCCGGCAAAATCAAGCTTAATATACATACCACAATTTCCACATAAAAAAAACGCAAAACCCATGAAAATTGAAACATGAAGCTTAAATCCAAGAAAAAACCCCAATTCAACAAAAACCCAACAATGAAATATAAATCCCAAAACCCCCAAATTCTTACATTTGAAAGACAAGCCTCTATAATTTGAAAGCAATCATCTTGACCCGGAAAGCGAAACCCTTGAACTAGGCTAGGATTAATGGAGAAAGAATCAGGAGAACAGATTTCGAGTCGAACCCGAAACTTCAAAGGCGGAGAAACAGGTTCATTTTTGGAGGGAACGGATAAATTGGTTGACGGGTCAATTACTTTCCGTGATTTGAATGATTTCCAGTAATCAATTGGGTGTTGAGGGTTTGTTATTGAGGATGCTTGGCGCTTGGCTAAAAGCGACAAGGCACGTAAACGATTGGTTTCGATCCTTTGCTTTAACTCTTCGGTGAGTTCTGGTGATGGCGGAGATGGGTCTTCCGCCATTGTTGATTAAAGAAGGTGGGTTCTAGTACACTGCGCTTACTGCTTTGTTTTCCTTTCTTTTTTGAGTTTTAGGGGGAAACGCGGGCAAAGGAAGGTTTGAAGACCTAAAATTGCCGGTTTTCGGGTTTTGACTTATAGGTTTCGCTCGTCACAATGTAAAGATGGCATTGGATCGTGTTGGTGACTTAATAACATAAATTTGAAATAAAAACATCTTTTAATTAATGTCTACCAAGGCTTGGAAACGACAAAAGTCAAACCCGTTACTTGTACTCCATAGTCCATAATAACTAGTGCAAAGAGGAGACATAGTTTGCCTATAGTACAAGTTTTATATAGTGTATTGTCCAGATTCAAATACATTTTAAAATTTTCATATATAATTACATCATACATCAAAAAATTAATTTAAGACTGTAACTCATTGGCCAATTAACAAAAGCAAAAGGGTACAAAGCCATAAAACCTCCATTATTGTGGTAGTCTACAGTCTACACACAGAGGAAGTACATGTCAATAATCTATAGTAATATATAAAGTGAAAAGGGGTTTTGGGTGATAAATTTTACTTTCCCAAAATACCCCTTTCATCTTTTATAATTTTCAAAAGAAAACTACCATAATTTACAAAATATAACTACCATTTTAAAATAAAAAATAAAAACTACCACCCATTTATTTTATTTAATTTTTTTTTTTTTAGGGAAATCATATTTTGCATGAAAATTAGAACGATTTCCCTTAATATTGTTAAAATAGAAATTAATTCCCATTATGCTTCGTTTTAAAAACAAATTCCCAAAGTAGTGTCCACATAGGATTGGTTTTCGGTTCAACTTAAAACCGCTAACGGTATTAGCGGTTTTGCAATTTTTGTAAAATAAAGTCAAAGAGACCTGTTTTATTGAAAGGCGGTCTCTTTGAAGTTATAAGTGTAATTTCTTGTTGTGGTCTAAGAATTAACAAGAACACAAAGAGACCTGTCGTATTGAAAGGCGGTCTCTTTGAAATATTTTTCCTAGACTATGCCTTGTGAATTAACCAAGGACGCAAAGAGACTTGTTATGTTAGAGGCGGTCTCTTTTTTAAATCCGCTATCACCATTAGCGGTTTTAAGTTGAACCTAAAGCAAAAAAACGATCCTACGTGGACACTATGTAGGGAATTTATTTTTAAATCAATGTATTATGGGAATTGATTTTTATTTCAACAATATTATGGGAAATCTCTATGAAAATTATAATGTACTCATATCTTACCTTTTATTCTCTATGATTTCATCAATTTATAAACCCACTAATATTTTTTTTATTAGAATAAAGTAGATAATATATTAGGAAAAAAAAAATTAATCGAGCCGTGCATATTAATTTCTTATGTTGCACACATAATTTGCGTGTGTCTCACAGCTTGTTACTCTAATCATAAATGACAATAGCAAATGTCAGTTAGATTGTTGGTACTTTTAAACCTCATGTTGGTATAATTATTACACCAATATAACGTCTTCTAATTACAAGTACAAATCTTTGTTATTGTCATTGTAAACAAGAGTAGTATTTCTTTCAAACGACCTATGTCTGCTCGATCATTTGCTTATTTTGAGCTCCTTGACGCTTTGATTTCAAATTGTAAAACAAATCAAGTTTACAACAAAAATAATTAGTTAAAGGTAACAAGACACTATTTTGTATAAAGACTTGAACACAAGACTTTTAAGTCAAATTCAATGCGCTACCACTATGGCAAAGCTAATTTGATGTTATTTATTGCATTAAAATTGTATTTAACCTATAAATTTACATCTTTTACTTAATAAAATTTTAAAAAATAAAATAATGGCGGGGTCGGCGCCACCCAGGCCCCTTCATAGCTCCGCCACTGCGTGTAGCAACTGTAGCACCTTAAAAAAAATTAAAATATTTCTCTAATGTTCAAGTATATAATTAACAATGAAAACATTTCATTGATGCACAAAAAGATTCCTTGCTTCATTAGTAATTATGCCTAACCATGAGTTCGAGGATTAAGTATAAGATTGCCAAAACCAATCTTAGTTTAATTTGCACGTTACATATTACTTCCCTAACGATCTCTTGTTCTCTCATATATACTTCTACAGTTCTACTGTATATTATTCATACTACAATGCAATTACCTAAATGCATAATCGATCTGCTTAGATTTTTTCAATGATCTAGCTAGTAGTTTGCATATATATATATATCAAGCTAGGGAAGCTGCATATTTCTCCATAGAGAATATATTTAACGAATAAGATCAGTTTAAATACATAGAAGCTTAATAGATTGTTCTAAGTGTTGTATGTGCGCATAGAAAAGGATAATGGACCAGCAAAAGAAGCATCGCCGAAGGTATAGTACTTTCTATTCATGCCTTTGAACTTTACCATTTATCAAAAAGACCTACTTCGTATATATGTACGTTAGTACATGTACTTTTGCAAGAGTATATAAGATATAATGTTTGGCATGATAGAGTATATAATATATTCCCGGGCCTCAACTATCAGTTTAAACTTTTGGTTGAATTGGTCCTTTACAACTTTAAACATTCTTAACACAATTGAAATTATATACCGTTGTTGCACCACAATGTGATGTATCATACTCCGTATATCATCATGCCTCTGTTTTTGGGAGATTTTGAAAGTATTTAGTGTGTCACCATATAATAACAATCTTGTACACAAATAAATACGGAGTATAAAAAAAGAATAAAAATATATTTCCTTTGTCCCGTAATTATACATACAATTGATTATGAATATTTGATTATCATTTAGCAAACATTATTATTGACGTATAGCATACATATTAGAGTGAGTTTTTCAGACGTACAACAAGAGAAACCTGAAGATTACATAAACAACAGAGACATTATGAAATCAGAATCTTTTAGACGAGGTACTTTTCTTAAATTAGAAACTTTGCATTTTTTGTTCAATAACTATACTATTTATATTATATCAACTTATATTGAAATCTTACTTATGAAATTCTTGGTTTTTGAAAGGGAGCTCAATAATGAATAGCAAGGAAAGCGATCAATTCGCAGCAACCATTGCAGCAGCAGCTTATGCAATATACTCCCTAGAAGAAACGAGAGCCGAGTTCGAGAAAAGAATGGTAGAGAGCTTTAGAGAGGATCCTAATTCAATCAAGAGCAAGAGCAGGATACATAGTCGAGATGATAATTCTTTTGAACGGTCGAGTTTAGGAAATTTGATGGGTCAATCATCACAAGTAGAAAGGAGAAATGGTGGTAAGGTTTCTAAATTTGAATGATCCAAACAACGTTTAGGAGCTTTCATACTATGAACGACGCAACAAACTTAGGCTTTGATACCGTGTTAAAATTTTGAAACAATATAAAATAAGTCTGGGTAACCCAAACAAAGAAGAGGGGAGTTTGGTCCACAAACAAGGCTTCGGAACTTTCATACTTAAACCAATTGGCAATAATAGGAGTAACTCCTCTATCTTATAAAGTGGAACCACCTATCTTTTTCTCCAATATGGAACACTCACAAGTGGGCTACAATGAATTTCAACGATAACATTAATTATTTGCTTTTTCTTAAAAATGGAAATATAATTTATTTATCATTAGACTCGAATAAGAACGGACAAATAAATTGACTCAAATCAAACACGATCCAAACTATTTGTTTGCACGCCATCTTTAAGAATATTTGCCTATCATCATTACTTCATTAGTAATGTATTGGCTTAGCTTAAGTAACCCTTAGTTTTAACATTAACATAAAATTAATTTTATACTATAATTTTGGATCTCCCTTTACCTTTGTTTATTTAATTAGTACGTATGTTAAGTATGACATACATTACATTCTATGTTTAACTACGGTAAGATAACATATGTACAGATGATCAACGTTCAAATTCTATGTCAAGGATTTCTACAAGAGCTATTGAAATAACAGGATTAGAGCAAAGGGGAAGTAGAAGGTTGCCAAATAAAGCAGATGAATGGGAGCAAGCGCGATTAGCCAAAATTAATAATTGGTACGTAATACATATTACACGAACAATATTCATATGATTGTACACATACGTACATAAACATCAATAATGAATAAACAGCAGAACTAATTAAGGGTGCTACACATTATTAGGTATGTGAAGATGAGTAAGAAGATCATAGATTGGGAGAATGAGAAGAAGAAGAATGCTAACATTTCCATGGAAAGAAGAAAGGTAAATTCCGATATATATATTCGAAATTATAAACTATTGTACGATTCATTCTTTGTTATAACATATGTTGATAATATGTTTTCAATACACGAAAATGTTATTGTAGGCTGAAATAGAGAGGTTAAAGAGGATAAACTTGCATCATTACCAAAACAAGTTAGATAAAATTGAAGATGTAGCTGTAGGAGCAAGGAAGCATCTAGAAGAGAAGAAGCGAAACGAAGAAGCTTATGCAAAACAACAGGCTAACAAGATTAGATCAACAGGAAGAGCTCCTGTTCAATGTTTATGTTTTGATTGTTAAATTAACATGTATGTACCTAGTACGGAGTACTAATTAACTATTACGCCGTAATTTAATTAGTACACCGTATTTCGAGTAAGGATTATGAGAAAATGACCTAGCTTATTAGCTTATAGATATTATATCGATCATTAGCTAAGATATTCAGATGATTAATCATGTTATTGGCTAAGAATAATAACTCCCTTCGTTTTAAAAAAGAAAAATTGCAACACTTTGACTAAAAATGTGAGAGCTTTTTGGTCAAAATGTTGTAATTTTTGAAACGGATAAAGTATATATACGCAAGTAGCTAGCCGGGCTAAAAACCTGGGTGTGATCAGCGAGTAGAGGGCCTGGATTGAGGTTGTAGTGGGCTTTGGAGTACAATATGTGGATCTACGTTTGTCTCATGACATATTGACGTATAATAATGTACTAGCTTTAATTTAACTTCCATGCATCTTCTTATGCTTGCAAACGAGAGAGGTACACATAATTTAGAGTTTGTAGTAACTGAAAAATACAAAACCAAAAACTGAAAACTATGGTAAAACTGAAGACTAATAATGTTTGGCTAATCAATAAGGTATATACGTACTAATTACTATTACTACTGCACACTCTTTTTACCATTGATATGCTTAATATGCAATATAACTAAAATATATTGATACGTCAAAACTATACATCAAAACGAACTAGTTAGATTCCATCCAAATATATTTTATTTTACACTATATATAATATAATACCTGTATAAATATCGTTCGTTAATGGTTGGGAAATTCTACATACCGCCTTCCAGAATCAAAATTCTATTTGGAAGACTCCTTTTTTTTGGCATTTTATGTAGTGGCATTAGGGAATGTCTAGATTGATAAAAGTGGCCTATTTGTCATTAAATCGGCTAACCATAGTTTAATGGTTGATTTTAGCCATTCTAATTTAATTAAAAGACGATTAACCCACCCCTTTTTAATTATTATACCCTCTCAGCCGAATTGAAATATATCTCTAGCCCGTCAACACCGCCACCACCAGACCACCACCTACTTAAAACTAACCACCCATCTCCTAAACACCCACCCACCTCTATAGCCACCAAGCCCACCACCACCTACCCAAAACTAACCAACCAAAACCAAAACCTCCACATGATTGTGTAAAAGCCAATCTTCATTCATTTTATATATGTAAAATATCTTATAGCTTCTTGTTGAGTTTATCCGCCTATAATCTAAGTTGTTTGATGATCATATTTTCAAACTAAAAGCCAAAAGCCGACCAAAAAATGAATACAAATTGAATAAATTCCTAGACAAGCCTAAAATGGCTATTAATTTCTCAAGCCCACTTACTCCAAAACGCTACTCAAATACAGGTTGGTTACAAAGAATAGGGTTTCGTACAAAAGAAAGGTTGGTGTGCAATAAAGGCTTGTGACAATAACATTAGCCTTAATATGTGGTAAAGAACTTAAGACCTCGATTCATTGATTCTTTGTACATGATCATAGTCAATCTATGCTTGCTGCCATTATGAGTTGGTTGCATTTACAAATTACATAATATTTTCAGTTTTCACACCTTATATAATTCTAGTATGTGACATCAAAAGAAGTTAGTTTTGCTGACCTTACATAGAAATTTATGAGACAAGAGGCTTTAATGCTAAATGGTAAATATACTCTTTTCGTTTCAAATTGATAGGTCGTAATTGATTGGAAGTCAGATTTTAAAATTATAATTCTTTGCTTAGGATATCATAACACATGTACCATAACCAAAGTTCATATTTTATGAGTTAAAGTACCATATATAATTTTCATGCACTAGTTTATACAATACGCTATCATTCACAATATAAAATAATTAGCTGTGAGAGTGATAAGCAAAACTTGAAATTGAACCATATCTATAATATGCCGCTTTGTGACTGTCTATACACTTAAAATAAATAACAAAACAAAAAACAATCCCTGTGTTTTTGTATTGTACATTTGTACTTGGTCCTTGGTATATCTAATCTATCTAATTACCAAATAATTAAATTTTACATTTTTTTAATCATTTAAAGTACTCCATATGCTAAGATATATTTGATGCCTCCATTGCTGAGACAAGATAGGCTTGATCTGACATCTTATTTTAAATCTACCATTAGAAATGCAAAAACGTGTGTAGGCATTATTGTATACCACAAGGGATCAAGTTGGTCATACATATAAGAAAGTAGATCACATATTAAAATTAGAGGATAATAATTTTTGACATTCTTTTATTTACATTATAATAAGATTTCTTTCAATATTATAAGTATTTTATATTTTTAGTCGTTCTTACTAGAAATGATAAAATATAAGCGCGTAATAAAACTAATCTGTAATATACATCAACTTTATTTGGTCAGCATTCACATAACATCATGCCATATGTCTAAATCGCGAATTCAATCATCTCTATGTGTTGGTTATCAAGCTCTTTCGTTATATTTATTGTTTGTTTTTATTCTTTTTCCTTTATAATCAATGGCTAGCCATTTGCCCATACTCTAAGATATGATATCAAATCTCGTTTGCATCATTATCCTCTTCGTAAAGAAATTACAGGTCAGAGTAGGTGGCTGGAATGAGGGGTTGTAAACTGACAGTTAGTCATTTGATAGCATGTTATTTGCAACAAGATTGGAGTACATGGAAGGGCACAAAGCTGCGAAGAAAATGGGCATCGAGGACCCCATTATTTGCTATGTTTTTTCTAGATATGGCCCAAAAGTGGGTTGGAAATTAGAAGCCAAGTATAATGTTTGATGCATGTATCACCATGAAATTATAATTATTGTGAGTGTAAGTCATTCTCAAATCTTTTCATAGCCTCATCTATTCATTTATAACTATAACCCACCGCCGATGATATTTATCATATAATTAATGTTATTCAATTGTTTACGCGGAATTTTGTTTAACAATAGAGCCGACAATACGTTTAAGAAAAATTGTCAATTACTAATTTATTATCGCTACACAACATATCACATATGTTGTTTGAGAAATATGCATGTGTACCTTAATCAGAAATTTAACTCAATTATTATACAATGATTAGTGAGAATTTGGTTAGATGGTATATTATTTATTGTAATCATTGCTAATTCATCAACATATGTATGTTATGGAAAATATTTCTATGAATGAATAATTGGTGGATATAATGATCGACCCCAAGTCCACAACCCTTACTTCCAATTCCCTAGTTTCCTACATCAAGTTAATAAGACTATTATATTATTTAAGATATAAATTAAATTCAAGAGATCAGAGTTTTAACAATGCATTAACAACTAGAATACTAGTAGATGATGATCAAATTTGTGTAACAAATTTGCACCTAACCACAACTCATTTATGAATTATTAGATGATTGTGGTGCAATTTTTTTTTATTATTATTTTTTTTTTCTACAAAATGAAAATAAAATTCTAAAGGTACAAATTAAAGTCGGCTAGTTCATATAAGAGCTAGAACAAAAAGGGATAAGTCCGAATTGCAAATGATCGACTTTAGGGTAGGCATGGTCTCAAAATCCTAGATTGATGGAAAGAGAAAGGCAATAAGCATCCAATCTTAGCTTGTTGACAATGGCACATCATAACATTTAATAATTAGTGTCCAATCTTCATCCATGTTTTAAGTTGGCTTTAAGTGTATTCAATCAAGTTTTGGATAAAAAAGCAAGTGAGTAGGTTTTTATCCATAAAATCTTGGAATGTGTGTTTATTTTAATGATTGGTTGAATGTTAAATAACACACTCAAGATCAATTTTTTCATCACAAACAAAATACTATTGTTTAAAGTTTTCAAAATAGGAAATAAAGCAAGTAATAAAAGGGAAATAAAGTGAATAAAGTAATCAAATAATGAGGAAATAACATTTAGTCCTTTATCAGTCTCTCATCGTTCAACCTTTACAATGTAATGTAAACTTTCATAATTCATGTTATTATATATATCTAATAAAATCATGCTTTAATTATATCCATAACTAAGAATGCTTGATTAAGTTTATGGAAAATTTTGCATCTCACAATGATGAGATTGTAGGATCGAACCTCATTAGATGCATTTTGAGATGAGGATTCCTTTACTCTCCCCCAAGAACACAACTCAAATCTGGTTGATCTATAAAAAAAAATCCGACTTGATAAGGTATTTCTCCTTACCTACAAAAAAAAAAAAAAAAAAAAATTATATTCTCTATGTGTTGTTTTAAGTGTTACGTACACTTTGATCAAATACGTATGCAGAGACACAACTTTGACCGTTAATGTATTTAATTATATAGTAGTAAAGTTATAAGAAAATTGATATTATGAAATATACATTATGACGAATCCAACAATGGAGTAGCATTTATTTATTTTTGTATATTAGTAAAATAATTAAGTAAAAAAATTAAATGTAACACTTTAAAAACACATAGTAACGGCAATACGAGTAATTTTATTTTTATTTTTTTAAATACCTTAAGGTATTTAGGGCTTGTTCTCTTTAGTTTAATTTCATTTTAATTTAGCTTCAATCAATTCAGTTCAGTTCAGCTTAGCTCCTAATTTTCTTCTCTTATAAACAATTCATTTTAACTTTATTCATTTCAGTTCAACTCCAATCAATTCTATTCAATTTAATTTAATTCAGTTTAGCTCAATAAATCACAGCAATCACTTAGCAGCTAGCAAGAATCAAAGGAGGAGTCAATAGAAGCCACAGGTTAGGCAGTTGAGAATCTCAATCTCTCATCTTACTGGTTGAAAATGATTGGCAGTGACACATGGTGGCCATATAAGAGGACCATGGTAATTTTAAAATGAGTGTCAAAACATAACATGTGGTACTAAGGACATGTAGCATTGCTGATGCAAGAAATAAAATTCAAAAAAACTTGCATTTAATTTTATGTTATGGTGCGATAAATGATTTTCTGATGTTTTCCCACTACGCAAATAATAAGCCAGCCATTGTTGACTTTTCAATAATACCTATTATAATACGGAGTAATAATTTGCCGAAAAATAATTCTCTCACCATTTTTTGTAAGTGTTACTATTTGATTGGTACTCATTTTAGATAAATTAATTAATTGACTTAAATATAAACAATTGTAATAAAAAAAAATGTAATTTTAAATGGTTATTCAACATCCCGAAAGGTATTTGGTAGCAAGATCTTTCTTAACTAAATATCAACATATGTTATGTGAAATGCTTATTTGTAACCTTAGCTACATAAGTCATTAATCTTAAAATCATCCATTTAGCAATTAGTAGTATTTCATACATGTCCAATGAAGTCACTCTCATAATCTTAAATAAATAATCCAAATTTGAAAATTTTGAAATTGCATTGGATGGCTATGTATATGTATATGTGTAAACTGGCGATAGGCCAAAAAATAATAATAATAATAAAAAAAAAACTAGGGATAAGCAATGTAAGCTACACCATTTGTGAATATTAGGCTAACAACACCTGACTTGTGAATATTAGGCTAACAACACCTGACCCGACCCGAAATCGACCCAAAATAATCATGAGAAACCCGAACTCGACCCGAACCGAAGCCGAACAACTTGAGATAAAATCAGGTAGGTTTTTGCTTGACTCATTGTAATAATAAATACTTTAATAATACAATATCAAAGTTTTTTGGTTTTTACTGATACAGATATGAGTATCGTCCTTTCGTATATAATTACAAATACAATATTAATAATGATCAAAGAAACAAAATAATATTGTATTCTGTAGTTTTCTAATATACGAGTATAAGCACACTATCTTAAACATTGCTTTAAAAGTTAAAACGTGCAACAAAAAGTACCTTAACTAACACCAAATAGAGTACTTCCATAAAAATATAAATTAAAGAGTAGTTGAGTACTAATTAGATGAAACTTACTAGATTTGTCAAAATAAATCAATTAATATAATAATTGTCCTAATCATTAGTTTCTTGGGTGAGTTGGGTCCCTTCCACCAAACCCTCATCAATAGACGACGAATCCTCTCAACCAACCAAATCTGGAATTAAGAAGACATTAAATTATGTGGCCTTTAACTGTAAAATACAAACAAACAAGTAAAGGAAAATCTTTCAGGTTTTTTATATTCCAATGTTTCCAAAAAGATGGTAATTATTTCCTTTTTTTTTTTAACCGTTGTACTGGACTACAGGACTAGTAGCTCATCCTCAGTCGAGTGTTTCACTTTTTAAAAGTAGGTTTTGAAAACGAGTGTGATTTGTATCTAAATAAAAGACGGTTATGTTTCTTCACTTGAAATAATGTGATTTGGTCTGTATTTGAACTTAATACTCTGTATTTTGTACTCGTATTAGTTTACTAGTAAGTTATAGTTTGACCTGACATCTTGGTTTAGTTATAAGCCGTATGTGTTGATCGTATAGTTATGCGAATATATAGCAAAAAAAAAAAAAATCAAGATTAATGGCCTGTTCTGATTTATTAAACTAAGCTGAACTGAACTGAAATGAAATGAATATTTTATGAGAGAAGGAAATTAGGAATTGAGCTGAACTAATTGTAGCTGAACTGAATAGAACTGAACTGGAATGAAGCTGAATAGAACATACCCTAATCTTGTTAAATTGATTTTTAATATTTTATGTGTATTCTTTGTATTTTTTTGTTGATACAATGTTAATTTTTTTTCATATGGAGGAGTAGTAGTAAATAGTAACTATTAAGCCAACCAACAACAAAGTTTAGTCTTTTTAATCTTGTTTTCATAATTTTTTAGTCTTAGAAATCTGTAACACATTTTATGAAATAAGGTAAAAAGAAACTACTGGTATTAATATTCACCTCAAATAATTTAACATGCACAAAAGACATCATAAAAGGTTGATCTAGAAAGTGGGGTGACAAGCCGTTGTGAGTGATTAATATAATTAATATTTGTGCATTTTATGCACTTGATTTTATTATGCTATTATTATTAGTTTGAACTTCACTTAAAATATTTTTCTTTAATTAAACTTACATATGGCTTCTTTGAACTTATAAAACAACCTACGTATAGTAGTACTTCATTCATACTATATGGGATATTACATACTTCATTGAACACAACAAAGGTGAACCATGCACTCATGTTGTATGAATTTACATTTTATTTTTGAAGGGTTATGTTTGATCCTCACCAATTGCAGTTCTTTGGGTGGAAAGTTCGATCACTTAAGACTTTTGTACTAGTCTCGTGGTTCTGATCAACAAAATAACTCAAGGTTCGTTTAGCAACACGGTGGTTTTTTTGTTTTTTTTTTCAAAGTCATATAATATATGTCATATAAATATATAATGAATGAAAAGTTAATCAAACTTATTAAGATTATGATAATTTTGAAAACTGACCAAAAAAAAAAAAAAAGTAGAAACACCTTTTTCTTTTTTTCTGTTTTTTGCTTTTTATTTATTTATTTATTTATTTTTAAAAAAACTAAAAATTAAAAAAAAAAAAAAAAAAACCCATGTCAAACAAGCCCTTAGTTTAATAAGTTTTTTTTTCCCTTCCAACATAAAAATAAAATACCAAAATATGTGATATTGTAAGGAAAAAGGGGTCTTGATTCATAAATCCAAACTATATGTCCATGTTTTAACATTTAATTAACTTAATTATCAGTGAAAACAATCCAATAGATAAGATATTAAAAGTATTTCAATTTTGATTTTAAGCAGAATTATATATATAAACTCCATAAATAGGTTTCAAGCTAATATGATACTTCTTCTTGTCTACTCGTGGACATAGTTTACACGTCGTTGGTAAATTAAACCACGTACCTAAATCTATATGTTCCCGCCGCTCTTTGCTAATCGTTCTTGAATTTGTTAAAATCCGATCCCATAAACACAAAAAATCCACTTAGCCAAAAAACATTATAATGAAGAAAGGTGTATTAAAGGGTCAATCAATAAGTGACTCAACTAAACCTCCAAATGTAATTAAGATAAAAGAAGCTCTTGGGGCAGAGAATAGGGGGGGGGGGGGGGGACAAAACTGGTCCATACAACCAAAAAATTTGATGGTGATAAGCAGCAATACTACCAAATGACCTTAGCCAATCAATTATTATTATAGGCCACCCTGACCCCCCAGTAATGAAACTTTGATTTATATCTTTCCACAAACACCCAAAAACATTAAAAATAAAAGATATTTCACACAATTTGGATGTAGATAAGTGATGCATAATCATTTGTTTTAACCTAATTAACAACTGGATCATATTGCTCTAAATATAAGCATATATATATGTAGGGTGACCTCGGCGATATAGCCTTTAGGCGGGATAGGGTTATAGATAAGCACCTGAAAGTGGAAAACACAAATTGAATGACTAATGATTATTAAAATAAAAAAAAAAAACTCGAATGTACTGTATACCATTTTCGAAATTATATCATGTTAATTATGCGAAATTAAAAAACGATTGTGGAAAACATATATGCACCAATAATAATTATTCTGATGACCCCTCAAAGTTCCCTCTTTAGAGATGGTCATAGTCCTTGAAACTAGTGGTAATATTCTCTTCTTTGCTTACCACATGTTTTGTGTTAACTCCTTATCAACAAAACCAAAAATGGTCAATATCAATGAGACAAAGACATACATGTGAGCTGCCAAATAAAATTTTCCAGCTCTCATATATTCACAAAACACCCCCTTTATTTTTATAGATAAATTAGAAACAAAGAGAAAAAAAAAATAAAAAAATCCAAAAAAAATAGAAAAAAGAAAGGAGGAGAGAAAATCATGAGTCAGTGTATAGTACCCAATTGGAATCTAAGTCACCAAAGACAAGACCTTAACCAAGGTGAAGGTAACAGATCCTCTCACGTGGACTTAGTCTCCCATCACAACCATTTCCAGCAACACCAACAACACCAACAACAGAGCTTCTCTCAGCTTGTTCCCATGTATGCTTATTGCTCGTTCCCTTCTCGACGTTTTGTCTTGTGCATTTTTCGTCTTTCTGTTAAGGATAAAATTGCGTACATTTGAATCGCAGTAATATAATCTTGCCTTAGGCAAATGGGTTGTTTTTCTTTACAGTTTTCTGCTAGTTCATAATTTGACTCAAAACAATTTTTTTGTGTTCTTGTTTTTATTCATACAACAAGTTTTGGTCAGTGTGAACTACTTTTCTATAGGAGTTATTGATGTATGTTCCTTTTTTTTTTTCCCTGTTTTTTTTTTTTTTCTAATATCTGTCTCAGCAGAATCTTATGTTACAGCTTTATGAATATATAGTCAATAATCTTTTAGTAATGAAATTCAGCAGAAATTTAACTTATTGATTATGTTAAGAATTGATGGTTAGCATTGTGTTAATCTAACATTTGTTATGTTTCAGGGCAAATTTTGAGGTAGCAGAGCTAACATGGGAAAATGGACAACTAGCCATGCACGAATTAGGAGGAATTTTTCAGGCTCCAACGACTGCGCCATCAAAGGGCACATGGAATGGTGGTGTAGGCAGGGTTACAGACACACTAGAGTCCATAGTTCACCAGGCAACTTACTGCAACAGCAAACAAAGCCCGAATTTAATGACTGCCTCAGCATCTCATCAGCAATCAGGCATTCAGAACATGGAAAATGTCGGGTCATCAGTTGTGGCGTCTTCTGGAGGAAAATGGGCTGAGAATTCTGGACACATACAGACACCGGTAGGCCCACTGCCACCCCCTCCTCCCGGACTGATGAAGAAACGGACACGCTCTGAGTCTGAAAATTGTGCAGCAAGGAATAATACCAACGATCATGAGATGAGCGCGTGTGCTAGTGCAAACGCTGCTTTTTGTAAGGACAGCAGTAACAACAACAACAACAACCATAATATAAACAACAGCAACAACAACAACAACAATAATAATAATAGTAATATTAATGACACTACTATGATGACATGGGCGTCGTTTGAGTCTCCAAGGAGTTGTACAAGAACAAAGACTACCACCGACGAGGATTCTGCTTGCCATGATGGCTCGGTAATTTGATCTTATTCCCCTTTTTATAGCTGAATTTTTGCTTTATTCAATGCCAATGATGGAAAAAAATAATAACATAAATCAAACGATACAAATTGAGATAAGCGAGACCATTTTATATGTTAAGTAATTGTTTTGTTGCAACATTTAACTATTATTGCTCATGAAGATAGACTTGTCTCAGATACTGAAATACCGGAGTACACATTAATTCCTAAACTGTCATGCCTTTATCAATTAATTGTCAGACTAGTTTCCTATGTTTTTCTTCTACATGTGAGCTAGTACCTTCATTTTACCCATTTCCCTTGTCTGGTATCTGTCTGCCTATCTGATTGTGTTTCACCGGTGTTTTCTATATCCAATAATTGAGTTGTTCAATCCTAATCAAAGCAATCAAGCGTTATATGCTCGAATATGAGTTGTACTCAGCACTTGTCCTTGATGAGTAACCAGGTTTATTCTGAAATAAGAGTAATGACTTTGTATAAGATTTAACCTTGCAAATACCTTTTAGCACAATAAAATCCTGAAGTCTGAAATTCTGTAGAATTCCTCGCGTCTTTGGCTAGGCCACTCTCTAACAATTTTAGCACGAGAACTTATAGTTTTATGCTTTAACACTTGTAACAGGAAAACCAAGAAGAAGAGCGAGAAACAAAGGGAGAAACAGGTCGATCATACACAACAAGAAAAGGAAGGGCAGCTGCTGTTCATAATCAGTCTGAAAGGGTAAATTTATTAATGATCAAATTCTTCATTACCTACTAGCAATTCTAATAACAACTTCAAAAGAAAATATTTTTCCTAGAACATGCACAAAAGTAGTTATCTTATTTGGAGCAAATTCAGAAATAGCATACCTGATATGACTGTGATTCTAATTGTTCAAAAAAATAATATTACAGCGAAGAAGAGATCGTATCAACCAAAAGATGAAAGCTCTGCAGAAGCTAGTTCCAAATGCAAGCAAGGTAAGAATATTAGCAAATTTGAGATCCATTAAAAAAACATTAAATAATCTATTATCTCAGCTTTGTACTAATTTCAATTCTGAAATGCAACAGACAGATAAAGCATCAATGTTGGATGAGGTGATAGAGTACCTAAAGCAGCTTCAAGCACAAGTTCAGATGATGACTAATGCGAGATTTATGCCCCAGATAATGATGCCTTTAGGGATGCAGCAACACTTTCATCAGATGTCCCTCTTGGCGAGAGTGGGAATGGGAGCTGGCCTAGGAATGGGTATGGGCATGCTCGACACAACTAGCATGGGTGCCTCCCACCCAGCACCTCAGTCAATGCCCTCAATGATTCATCCTACACAAGTTGGCACTGCTACCTCTGCATTTGTACCACCTGCCTTTGTCGTCCCTCAGATGATTCCTGCATCTTCCCAGCAGGCAAACCCTGCAGATCCCGGAACCAGCTGTTCTGCTCCTTTACAAGATCCCTACAGCACACTTCTGGCACAGGCAAGTACAACATGGTGTTGCAGACTTTTTTTTTTTAATTATTTTTTAATTTTCTTCAACCCTATACCTCACCTGAAAGCTGAAGTTACTGAGAGAAAGCCAAGATCGACCCAAACAAACCCGGACAGTTTGAAATTTACCCATTTAACATTATAAATTTTTAGCATAACACGAAATTACCTCAAAGCAAAAGCTAACCCCAACCAGTTTAACTGAATTGCCAGCTCTTCATTTTTGAGGGGGAGAACACTATCTGATGTAACTTCAATTTTTACACTGCTTAAGACACTCATAACAGTAAAATAACCAATGCATGACAAAAGTCATTCCCTTGATAACATAAGAAGAATTTGTTTTGATTATAAACTATTTATACAACAAAGAATGTGCAGACTCAGGGTGTGAATTTGTCGCAGACTTCAGTCAATATGATGGCTCAAAATTTTGCTCCTAAGACAAATAAACAATAACAATAACTCTCTTAACTAGCTGAGATAGAAAGTGTTACATGTTTCTGTTATTACCTTATGTTTAATAACTAACCCCATCACAATTTACATGCAGTCTATGAACATAGATCTCTACAACAGGATGGCAGCTTTACAGAGGCAACAACAGACATCGTCACAACAAACAAGCAGTCAGTTACATTCCAACCATCACATTCAACGGAGTTGAGGCGATTGTTTATGATCTAGAGGTTTTTTTTAGCTCCCTTAGTGCAGTTTTGGTAAAATGTAAATGCATTAGATCATTAGTTGTTGATTATAAGTTAATTTCTTTTTTCTTTTACTGTGTTACAATTGATATAAAGCTATCTTCGAACATATATTTGTACCATCTATACAAAATAACCATCAGAACAATATACAATACAAGAAAAAGGAGTAGTTAAGGAATGTTGTTCAGAGACGAATTTCCAACTTCCCTGTACCTTATAATGAGATTTTTCATCTTAAATATATATGCAGATGCAACATGTGACATGTCCATAAATATTAAGCACAAATCCCTCAGCAAGTTTAAGCTTTATATATGCATTCAAGTTTGCACTATGCTAAATCGATCAATGAAAACTCTACTATAGGCCATGACACCGTGTTATGCTTTTATTTTTTATGTTAAACACTTTCCTCCGTTGTTTGTCCTTCAACAATATTAACATACTACTTCAGGTACATGTTTTCCTGCCTCTCTCAACACAGGCAAATATTCCCATCTCTTTTGTCACGAGTTTTCCTATTTTGGTCATGACAACATGAAAAAAAAAGGGGAGGACTACAGTTACAGCTAACAGAAAAACAGAACTAATAATATTGTTTCTTAAGACACTTGCAATATTACCCTTGCATTTTAACAGAAGCTGTTGCAATTTATCGACAGAAAAGAAACCAATGGCAAACAAAAGTACAAATCCACAGAAAAAAGTTACAATATAAAAGAAAGAACAATAAAAAGATCACTCATTAGTCAGACAACTGATTTATCTTATTTCTGTAATCAAAGCAGATATTTGGATGTTATTTTGCAATGATTACTCAATAATAAAATTCTTCCTTTTATGAGTAAAAAATAAAAGTGGGATGGGTGGAGGAGTTTGAACTCTTGGTGGAGTGGGGAGTTTGCTCAAGTCACCAACATCATCTTTCTAAATGTGGATTAGCTAGGATTCTTAGGCCAGGACCACAGAACGAGCCGCCAAGGTCTAACCTAATAATTCTTCAAACCAAAGAAGTTCTAAGATCCAATTCTAGAAACTTGATAGAACTTATGCCCACATTGTAACTGTAATTATAGACTGCCTCAAGAAAAGCATAACTACTTTCTTTCGTTCGACTTTTAGCCATTTGTTTGTGTGGCTTGGAATACATGTCAAGGCATAGGAAGTACTTTATTTTCGACTCAGCTTGGAATATGATAGAGGTGGTTTGAGCATCAAGACATAGGGAAAATGGACTGGCTGCTTAACCAGAAGCTCTACTTTTAAGAAAAAGAGAAACAAACTTTTATCCTGCAGAATCCAATCTCAGAACATTGCATTGACAGGACCAGTTACATTTAAGCTTAACAGATGCACACCACAATTTTGATATGCTCATGATACGTGGGACCGTTGCGAAAAATTCATAGTGGCAGGAAGCTTCACATAAGAAAATTAATTGTATGAATATGATAAATCAGACTATCCAAGATTATAGGCAACAGGCAAATTTATGTACGGAGTTAATGAGAATAGGAGATGATGTCTTTTCTAAGCATCAAAGTCGACGATCATCTGAGTTGTAACACAAGGACCACTGACAGCTACATGATAGGATGGTTGACAAAGACAACCACCCTCCAAATTCCAAACGGCTAAATAATGCTAACAAACTTTTGGCTTCTTATTCAGATTAATCATCTTTACTTAATCAGCAACATTTTTCTATGCAGCACTGAAGGTTACAAATCCAAAATTTTGAGCAAAAATTTATTTTTTTTTCCAAGAAAGATTCGATTTAAGGTCAGGGAATCTACTCGAAATCAATCACTAAACTCAGACTTCATAAGCATCCAAGCAAATAATACAGTACAGAACTACAAACTCCTTCGTCGTAAGACCTTACAACTTGCAGGCCTATTCGGTTAAGATCTTATTCTAACAGATCAATCATATTAGGATTGGCTGATTGGGTAACTAGGTACGGTCTTTTGTCAGGTTTTCATTTAGGTTACACGTCATTGTTTCTAAACTTTTTTTACACTTTCTTATAAAGTGCTTGGAACTAGTCTGCATGCAATGAATAAGGGTCTGTTCTCTTACGTTGAAATTTAGTTCAGTTCAGTTCATCTCCTAATTTCCTTCTCTTATAAAATATTCATTTCAGTTCATTTCAGTTCAGCTCAGCTCAGCTCAGCTCAGTTCAGTCAATGAGAACAGGCCCTAAGTTAACTAAATCTTGTCTCTTATCAAACTTATTTGTAAGAATGAAAAAAAAAAAAAAAAACAGTAAAAACTACAATTTGTCCTCAGCTAAGCTAGAGTCTTCTCACTCTTCTGGTTATCCAGAAGTGATTGAAGAAACGAAACTCGGGTCCATATGACAAAGACAAAAGGCCCTCCGACATAAATCTAGTCAATACAACAGTTGTCTGTGTATACTTACTATCATCAAAGCCAGCAACCTGCCTCTCTCAACCCTCTGTTCTTCTAGATTGTCATTATATGAATTTAATTAATTATAAATTCCAATTTAACTATATACTAACAGTTCATATTATGATACATGTCTTCAAGAGTTTAAGACATTGATTCCTAATTCCCTATAAGTTTGACTACATTTCAGTAGCTAAAACAGCAATGCAGTCCCAACTCTTCTGCATGCCAATCGCCCGTGGTCTGAAAATCAACCAATTCGCCTTAAAACACCAAGGATTACCAACAACTACTCTCTTCGTCCTTAAACAATTGTCTTGTATTCCATTTTACTCAATCCCAAAACAATTTTCCATTTTTCTTAAAAGGGTAATTTAACCCACCCATCCTCTCTCAACCCCTGTGACGTGGGCCCCACGGCCTCGAAACTCTCTCTATGGCAGGCTCTCTTCATATCATGTAGAGCGGAGTTTTTGTAAATATACATAAGATATAACTAAATTGTGGGCTATGATTATGTGCTGGATCACCAGAACTCTCTATGGAACCAATCCCTGAAATCTGACAGGTTGGAAAGATATATAGCCTCTTTAGTATTTTCTGTGGTTGGTGAAGTTACAGTGTCAGTAATCATAGTGTGACAGCCACATCTTCACATAATGTTTCATGGGCTTCCAGTTCTTGTTTTTATTATGTTATGATTTCTGGATGAATATGCCAGAATTAATATCAATTTTGTACAGATCATTTCTTACCCTTGTTTAGATTTACTGCATATATCAATCAGAGTAAGCAGATTTTATGGATTCTATCATATTTTTGGCTTCATTTTACAATCTTGGTAATCGAATATTCTCATTACTCCTGGTGCTGTGATATTCTCAATAATTAAAAACAAAAACCTTTTGATCATGGTTTAAATTCCTATTTATTCAGGCCTAAGGGTTATTGTCTTGTTGATGTTGAATGAACAACTGTCATTACGCCTGGCTCATATCTCAGGTACAGAGCCCAGTACAAGTACAGGCCTAATGTCTAACTTGTTTCCACTCGGACCTGATACGCTGGGACCTTATGTCTAGAACGTGAGAATACTACCAATCCATCCCACCTTTGTGTTCAGACAAATGTGATACATATGTTAACTAACTCAACTACTGCAACAACACTTGGCCTTCAGTTTTATGGACTCTCTCTAGTTCCAAGCAGTTGAAGCAAGAAAATCCCAAACACGGGGGAAAAAAATATTCAGAAGATGTCTTAGTATAGCAATTGAAAAAAATTATAAATGTGAATCCCCAAAATATATACATCAGAAAAGAAACAATAGCCTCCAAAATGAGCACTGGTATGGAGTACAAACATCTCCATGAGTGAATATAGGGGAACAAAGGAAAACACAAATGGCTATCTTCACACCATGTCACTCGACTTTAAAGCTATAACTATACACAAGAAAGCTATATGATACATACCATATTTCTGCATGTCAGGAGGCACTAGGTTCTACCAAACGTTTGCGATCACGAAGAGACATCACAGTTTCAAAAGCACCCACCAAAGCTTTGACCTTACTTTTCCTAGTCTTGACAAGCTTGCTTGCAGTCTCTTCAATCACATTGTTCAAATCTACATCGTCTTTTTTCTCTGATGCTTCTTGGTGTCTCAAACGAACTTTTTCTGGTCCAGGTTCAGCATCCTGTGTTTCACTGCTCATATCATTCTCGTTCTTCAATTTTTTAATCTCAGACTTGGCATTTTGGTCCTCACCCAAAATTTTCCCTCTCTTAAACCGAAGTTTTCTGGGAGCACTGTTTGCAGTCTGAAGGGCAACCACAGTGCCTCTCTTGAATTTCACTTTCCAAGCAGAAGCATCCTTCTCTTCAAGAGAACTTTTCGCTTTCCTTCTTGGTTTCACTTTAGGTTCCACAGTTGATTTAACCCTTGAAGTGCTAGTTTTTGACCAACCATCTTCTCGTAATGTGTCAGTCTGTTTGGTATTTTTGAAATCTAAAATTTTCGTCCTGCGACTCACAGTTGATTTAGCTCTAGGTGTTACAGATTTTGATCCACCATCTTCTGTTTTAATAACAATCAGTTTATTCTTTGTAGTCTCTGAACCTTGCTGATCCCCGCCCTGATGCCGAGAAGAATCTCGAGATGAAGAAGACAGCAGACTGAACCCAGTTCCTTTTTTGCTACCTTTAGATCCTTGGGTTTTGCTGGTCCGAGGAGTACATCGTGAATTTTCACCAGAAGATATATCTGAATTTGGTCTAATCATGCAAACTGTGTTCTCAGAAATATCATCATGTGCATCAATTTTGGCTTCTTCAGGGTTAACCTGATTTTTGAAGCGAGAAGAACTCTTGCGATTTTTGTACAGTCTTGCTTTGAGGCTTGGAGATTTCTTCAGGGGTGTCTTCGGAGAATTACTTATTGGCTCCTTTGCTTTGATCTCCTTTTCACCCTTGCTATACCCAGTTTTCTTCTTCAGTGATGTCTCTAAAGGGCTACACAATGGCTCTTTTGTCTTGACCTCCTTTTCACCCTTGCTATAACTGCCCTCTTCCTTCAATGTCTTTATTTCTTTAACCTTTTGGGTCAAGCTTTTCTGCAAATTTGGGCTTTGAGTCACTGGTTTCTTGACAGCTTGAGTATTAGTCTTACTTCTGCTTGAAGTTCCAGGACTTGGAACCGTAGATGGCTTAATTTCACTCTGCACACGCTTCATCACTGACTTGTCTATGTCTTTCTTAGGGGAATTATTATCCTCCATACGCATTAGGACAGCTTTCTCTGGTATGGGACCTGAAAGAGATGTGCGTCGTTTCCGCTCTTTCACCTTGGCCACTTTCTCCAGCGCACAATTTTCCAAGTCTTCACTAGTTGTCTTCTTTAAGGGCTGGGCTTCTCTATTTGTTCGATGTACTAGTCTACTAGTCTTCTTCTCTGACTCGTGTCTATGGCCATACTTGCACATATCATGGCAGGAACCAATTGAAGCACTACGATAGCGGGAACGGACATTAAATTTATGATTTGGACCAACAATAACTAAGTCAGACTTTTTTCTCAGCTGACCTACAGAAAAATCAGTATCTTCAGTTAGGGATTTCTTTGAAAGAACAACCTCTGTAATATTGCCTCTCGAATTTTCATCTTCTTCCTTGATTGAAGCATCTGAAGTTCCATCAGCCAATTTATCTGTTTCTTCCTCATCAATAAAGCCAGATTCCATTTTCCCCTGGTCAATGCTGCTATCACCATCTTCCTTGGTCATTGATTCAATATTCGTCATTATATCACCACTTTCCACCTCCATATCTTCAAGTGAAGCCTTATCATCATTTTCCTCAGCCATTCTTTATTGGCAAGAGAAGTGGGTGAAAGGCACGACTCTGAAGCATAACAAATTTATTAGGATCCAAGAACAAATGATTAAACTCATTAAAGACTAATAATATCAATCAATCAAGTGCTTACTGCTTAGTAAGCATTCACACATAAGAAATTTACATAAACTTGGTTTCAGCAATTTGGAGTGCTTGCTGACAATACTATACATTACAACAAGAACTTAATACAGGAAACTAAGCGCTAACCCCATTTCTTCAACTTTTAGAAAACAAATATTACTCCAAAATATTGGCAACTCATTACAAAATATTATGAGCAATTATCACAATTTAATCTTTGTATAACTCTTACCTACCACCTTACAAAAGAGAGATAGGAGAAGCTTATAATATCAGTCTCGTAGCAACAAAATCACAATTAAGATGAAATCATATTAGCAGCTCTCAGGAAATTTTTATGAGTCACTATTCACTAAGCCAAATCTAAATGCAATTCTTACCATCTATCAGAAAGAGCGTTAGGTAGAGGAAAATTAAAAATAAAAAACTCCCTTCACTCACTGCCAGGTAACTTTGTAAGTGCATTTAACCCTTCTCAAAACTACAATGATATTGGCCTTCATAATTTCATTATACTTATCGATATTTGGTCCCAACAGGTGGTTTGAAATAGGCTCCTATGAAAGCAATGTGTCTGTTCTGGTCTGCTGCAACTAAATTTCAATAAAGGTGAATGTTGCATACTACATTTCAATGCAGATCACCATCTTAATTATTTTCTCAACAATGTTGGGATAAAAAAGAAGAAATGAACTCTACTGTTCTCCTTAAAGGATCTCTTCTTCCTCCGTCTATTAAAGAGGGCAAAGAGAAGAGAAGCAGAGTGCGATGTCATGTGAGAACAGTTTCCCCAGTCTAGAGTGCAGCAAGTTTTACATGAAGAACTCTCATTCTAGTATGCTATGTTTTTGTGCAGGTTGGTGTCATTACATGTTATATTCCTCATTTTCAGCCGTGTTTTGTGCAAATTGTGCATAAAGGATGGCATGAATCTAGCCTAAGGAATAAAGTTGGTTGAATAGGATAAAATTGTACCCCTGACACTTCTATTCCTCCTTTCAATATCAGACCAAACTACCACTTACAATTCCACAATGTGTCAATGAAGTTACTTCCTCTAAATGCCTTTTCCAATACAGCTTATACAAGTAATACCTCGAAAAACCTAATGAAGCTTGTACATGTTTTTTGCTCATCCATAATTGAAACTTACCACCCTCGGTTAGTCAGTCATCAGGAAAGACTTACACATGTAAGTTAGAAAAAGGTAGGATGACTCAATAGCACTACACTGAAGAATGAAAAAACCATAGCAAACAATACACCCAGTTCAAAACAAACTTCTTGAATAAGACCAGACATTAAAATGAGGGGCACCATTTTGAAAAATCCTTCAACTCGAATCAGATAAATCTTTCAATATCCTCCCCCAAAATGCCCCATGAGGAAATTCCAATACGCCATTGATTTTTTCTGACAAATGAAAAAGTCTGATGACTTTGCAATGAAGAGTAAAGCCAGGCTCTAGAGCAACTAATTGATCTAACACAATCTACAAGCCTGTCATTATAATACATACCAATCATCTACCAAGTACAAAAGAATTTAAGACATTCAATTAGCAACCATTCAACAATCAAAAACTTTTCAATAAACTATATAAACATAAAAGAATGCATAAAAAATTTACTAATTATCCAAATTCAGTAGTACTTACATCAATAAGAGAATTATATGCAACCAACTGAAACAAATTTTGTGATTGACATGAAATCACCATTAAATACCAACAAAAAAAGGGATAGACATTTCACATAGGATAAGAAATCACATCATGATTAGGCTATTCCTGAATTATAATCAAGATTCATACAACCAAAGAATGCATATCCCCAAAATTGGTAGTTTGGGATTCGAAATTAATACAGTTATTGCTCAATCACCAATTATATGATAGGATACACATCACTAGTAGACCGGAAAAACTGACTCGTATCCGATTACGCAACACAAAATACCCACATCAAACCCAGTTAAACATACAACTGTTGCCTAAAATATCACAAATTACAAGATACCCATCTCAGAAAAATAATTAATCACAAAAAGGAATCACATTATTATACAACCATAATTAGCATGAAACACAAACCAGCTTTTGATCAACAATCAAAATGAATAAAACAGGAACAATCAAACATTCAAACCCATTTAAAAAAATGGATTAAAAACAAAATTACAATCAAATCTGAATTGGGTACAAGAAAAATATAAATAATTAAAATTACTACAAATAAAAGGGTTAAAAATAGTACCTTGAAGAAGAAGAAAAAATCTCCAACCCAGAAAAAGATGAAAAATGGATGAAATATTCAAAAGGGGTTTTGAACGTTCTTCAAAAAAAAATCAAGGATTAAATAATTAAATTAAACTAAATTAAATTAGTGGATTTTTAAGGGGTTTTACCAATTTTAAGAAAAGGAATATACAATTTAGGTGCGTTGTAAAATGATGAAAAGAAAGGAAAATAAGAATGAAGAGAAGAGAAGCAGCAAAGCAAAGCAGGTATGACTTGGAGAAACCGCGTTTGTTGGAGTCTTGGAGAGAGAATTCAAGGGTCCCGCGCCATTTGTAACGGCCGTGCAATTTACTGCTTTAATTGTAGTTTTAAGGCATTCTTTGTAATTTTTTTTTTTTAACTTTTAATTAAATTAAATACTTTTTATAATAAAGCTTATCTAATTATCCTTTGTTAATTGGGTGTTAATTATCTTTAAGACAAACTCTAATTAAAGAAAAAGGGGTTGGCAAATAGGGTTATGAAGTAATGATGTGTTTTTGGAGAGGGAAAAAGGGGAAGGGTGGAAAACTAGAATGGTCTAGTTGAAATGTGCATTCACTCATTATTTTCATGTGGTAAGAGTTAGTTGTTGAGTTTGATATGACCTTTTCATGATTAATTATAAACTTTCATGGTTGATCATCATTTGATTTTAATTTTTTTGTATAAAGCGTTTTACTTTTACCATATAAAATAGTGATTACCATAATTATATTAGAATGTAAATTTTCAATTGTCGAAAGAAATTTTTCTTGATGGGAAAATGATGTAACACTTTTAAAATATTCAATAGGGCAGGTTCTCTTCAGCTTAATTTCAGTTCAGTTCAGTTCCTAATTTCATCCTCTCATAAAATATTCAGCTCAGTTCTGCTCCAATCAGTTCAATTCAATTCAGTAAATCAAAACAAACCCTTAAAATAAACTCAATTTGAAATTATAGTTATTGAATTAGATATAAAATAATGTCAACACATTATGTCTAATATGAATTAATTATCGTCATAAGACGTTGGAATTAAACTAACTAAAATCTAGATGACTTATTAACCAAATGTGATCTAATTTAAACATGATTCAAACTGACTTAATTGCCACCTATGAAGATAACCCAATCTTCAATAAATGGTTATTTTGATTCGTGCTTAAGTATATGGTAAACAAGTTCTTTTTTTTTCTCCCCCATAAACTCTGTAATTTTTTAGAAGAAAAATGTGACTTATTTAAGGGTAAGTTTTCCTCAAAAGTATGTTGGGCTAAGCTAGCAAACAACTCGGCCATAATTAAAATGGGGAGCCTGCATGGGCCATTGGACCGCATGCCCAATGAATAGTGGTCAGATAGATGATAGGTGGGAGCTAAGAGCTTCAAACAAAAATCATTCGTAAATACAAGTTCATTTCTTATATACTTCCTCCGTTTTTTAATACTTGCAACACTTCTCTAAAATGGAAATATCACAATACTTGCACTACACTATAAATGGAAAGTTATACTACTTCCGTTTCATATTATTTATAACGATTAAACATAAAGTAAAGAGGAAAAATGTCTAATCGTTGCAAATGATATAAAACGGAGGTAGTATTAGAGAAAATATGTACTATTTTCCTTATTTAAAACACATGGCCCACTAAATTACACCTCTAACATCCACTCTCCTCATTTTAATGTGTATTATATAATGTGAACCCCACATATCTTAAATACCGTGAAAAAGTGTGTATTGCAACTATTAAAAAACAGAGAAAGTATATACTCCCTACGTTTCACTTTGTTAGTCCCATATAGAATCAATCACTAAAAATAAGAGAATGAATAATATTTATTACTACATGACATTTTTGTAAATAAATCAATAAAATTTTTCAAAAAAAGCAGGTCCTACAGTGATGATGACTGGATAAAGCTGTAGATTTCTTTCCAAAATACCATGTGATAAATAAATTTTGTTTATATCATTGATCAACTTGGGCTTCCTGGTACCAAGTAAAGACTTTGTAAATAAAACGTCATAAAGAATGATATTTTTTAAAAAAAAGATAAAGAATGATATTTTAATGTTATTTTAAATTAACCTTTGGTAATTGGTATGGCAAAAAATAATAAAAATTAGGTTGGAAAAAAAAAAAAAAATACTTCGTCTACATAAAGGCCATGTTTGGTAAATGGCTTTTTGGTGGCTTTTTGGTTAACTTTTGGCTTTTGGCTTTTTTATGAGGTCAAACAGCCAAAAAATGTGTTTGGTAATTGACTTTTTAGCCAGTGAAAAAGCTGGCTTTTAAGCCAAAATGAAAAGCTGCTTTGAGTAGCTTTTTTGTTGGCTTTTGGCTTGTTGGCCCACAAATTATCTAATAAACAGCCAACTACCAACAATTAATTTACCAAACACTTTTATAAATAGCCAGCTTTAACAGCCAATTTCAAAAGTCATTATAAACAGCCAAACATACCAGCTGGTCAAACAAGCCAAGTGAACCAGCCAACAGCTAACCGCCAACAGCCACTTGCCAAACAAGGCCAAAGCCTACTTGTGGAATTCATTTCAAGAACAATGACATCCAAAGCAAGTCCACCTGCAGACAGCCAGCTTTAACGAAAAGAAAACCCAACCACAGTAACACAAACATAAGGATTAAGGAGCCCTCTCACTAAAAGAAGAGGGTCAATTTCTGAAGTCATCTCACCATGTCCTCCCTACCTTTGTTTTGGGTCACTTCTGCATAATTTTGCAGCATAAAGCATCTGAATTTATTCATAAATAGATGGCCAACGAGTCGATGACTAACTCAGGTGGTGGTCGTAGGAGCCACAACGTTAACAGATCATAGACATTCTGGATAGCAGATTCTTCACTTTGTAACGTTGTTGTCATGGCTCACGGCAGGCATACATTGACATTAACAGTTCATATGGCAGGGTAGTCATCAGATTCTCGTTAACATTCATCGAGGGCATGCATCTGAAAGCTGATCCTAAGACATACTAAATACAGGTATATCCCAGGAAACAAAAGCAAGCAGTGAATTAACACTCCCACTGATTGGGATTATCAGTCCAATCTCAGAGCAAGTTCTGATAAATTGAATATAGGGTACAAAAACCTGAGATTGGAATTTTGTTCACTCCAATCTCTGAGATCAGTTCCTCAAACAGAATCATATAACTAAATTTAGCTAGGTTATGAGTTGTGACAGTTCTACAGGAGCATAACACTGTTTCGATACAACAGGCCTAGAAAGTTGTCAAATATTACTCTTCTTCACAGCAAGGAACTCGACAACTGATTACCAATGTAATATGAGTAATTCCTCAAACTGTCTTAGACGAGTGATCAAATGACTGAAAATTGAATATTCATCATAGTTTATATTACAAGATAGACAAGGCCAGCAGCAATAAAGTAGAGATAAGAGCAGAACATGTTGGCTGATTATGAGGCAAGTTTAAACATATACCTATATATCATAGTGCTACACAAAGGTTCTACCAGTGCTAGGCCTGCTCGCATCGGTTTACAGATACCAAACCTCGAACCACAGTGCAAAATTCAAGAAGACAGGTTTTCAGCATAGAGCATTTTCATTAACATTCTGCAGAGGAAGGCAGGTAAACTTCATGGACACTTCAGAAAGGGTGTGGTCGTCAAATTAATGGCTTGCAGAAAAGGCAAGTTCTACTGTTCATAGGTATAGAATGCAGGAGAAAAGAGAGCACTTTAACCCTCAGGTGAGAATTTCTCTAACTAACCAATCCAAACTGGGGTATGCAAAGTAGAGCACAAGGAAAGATGGAAAAGCAAATAGAACAGTGATGAGAAGATACAAAGCCAAAATGGCAGCACTTGCAGGTATTGCATAAAGGGTGACAAGAAGGAATAATACCACAAGGGGAAATTTAGCGGTCAAGTGAACTATGAATGCCAAGGACTTACGAAGAGACATGCTGAGTCTCTCTCTGTTGAAATACTGACGTAAATAGCTAATGCTGTTGTGATTAAGCTCTGCCCCATCTGGTGATTGTTGAATTTCTCGATGGGATCTAGCATGGGAATGGGTAGACATACCAGTACTTCCATTCAAAGAACCTGGTTGACGAAATTCCCCATGGCCAGATGCACAAGACCTTGTCCTATCCCCATTCATGCTCTCGACCATCCAGAGGATGAAGTAATTTTTCCGAGGATATCTAAGAGCACCTTTGTATATCATCCGAGGAGAGAGAAAATTGCACCATGGACAGGAGATGAAGAATGGAAGCTGGATCGGAAGAGTGGGAAATTTCAGAGCAGCCCATGGGAGACCCAGCACACAATGCTTGCACAGAGTGTGACCACACCATAACACATAAGGGACATTCTCAACGAGATTGAAGGACTCCCAGCATATTGGACACTCCAAGCCTTCTTCTCGGTTGGTATCAAAGGATGCATCGTCATCTGAGCACTCTGCATTTGAATTTGAAAGATCATCCTTCAACTTGACACAGCCTGCAATGGTGCTTGAATTACAGGTCCACATTGTAACTAAGCCAACAGGGTTAAAGCTGACTTTATATTTCGTTATGATTGGCCATAAGAAATTTTCATTGACTCTTCTTCCAAAAGGTATCACCAAGTCATCAGCATCAGTATTCAAAAGCTTGATCTGAAACTCTGAAAGAATGGAATTTTTTTAAATAAAAGTTGCAATAGCTATGTAAACTCTTGTTCAGATTAAAATATACGAAACTACAAACTGCAGTGCGCATTTTCACTCCATGTAAATATTTAATCTTCTACTTTACAATTCAAACTTCTAAGTGTACTGGAAAATTACTATGAGCACAAAGGAACACACGGAATCAGAACCTAACAGACAAAAGATAAACTTCATAGCATCAGTTCAAAACTTTAAATATTCAAATTATTCATAAGATTTTCCATAGGCCAGATATGCAGGGCAAATATTTTTCAAATATGCAACATTACTCGCAAGTTCATATTCATCTGTTCCTACTTTACTCTATCAGGTTTCCCTCTTCTACCTTCCCATCCCCCAATTGTTGGACCCAATCTAATTCATTCTCTATAAATTCCTATCAAACAAGAAAAAAGCAGTCCTCTTTCACACTATCAAAAGGAAATAAACAGTCAGGAAATCACATATTAAGCCTAACTTTCAAATTTATCTACTGCCATGACTCGTGAATCCTAGTTTATCAAAAGACCAATACGTTTATTTACTATGAAAAGCTCTAGGTCATATCGTTCTCTCACGTACAGCTGACTCTAATAAGCAACAGCTTGTCATATCTACTCTCCTCCCCCTCTCTGCCTAGTGAGAGCCTTAATGGCTACTTCTGGAAAGCAATAATAAATGGCAAGTCTTACCCTCACCCGGCTCTAGATATGTTCTTACAGGATTCCTCCAAATCTTGGTGACATAGAAGTTCTTAATGGATGCAAGGAAACAGAGCACAACGTCAACAGCAAAACCAATTTGCAAAGAGGGTGTGGGAAATAACATGGAGAAGGCCAGGTCAAGCAATAAGGACAAAACAAACCCTAGATCCATTTAGATATTTTCAAAACAAACCCTAGATCCAAATTCTTCATAATATAGAGGCCTGGACCAACCATGGCCGGACAAATATTCTGTTTCCTATAATCTGCTAAATCATTTTGATATATAATATGCCCTTCGGAAGGTGAATTGAAGTACCATTGATTTCTAACTATATATACACAAGTGTAGTCAAGCAAAACTGAGGTGGAAACATTAACAAAGATGGTAATGAGAGATGCTACTTCAAAACATCAATGCAAGAAGAATATTATTAGGATGCTGCCACATCAAGAGAAAAACTTCATTGTTGTTAGTGAAACATGTGGCCCAAGTGGCTAAGTGAATTAAAGTACCATTGACTGCCACCTAAATAAACAAAGACAAATAATAAAAAAATTCATTCCAAGCGATAAAGAAAAGCAAAATCCTAGGAAAGTATGCAAAATCCTCAAGGATAAAGAAAAGCAAAGACCTAAGATAACCTCATGAGAGTGATAAAGTATAAAGAATCCCCACTTTTATCTAGATTCCAACAAAATCAACAAACTTTGAAAAGAAATCCTTCAAGTAGTCTTCACTTGGTTTGGACAGCTGGTTCATTAGAACAGCTTGCACTCTCAATCTCAGTTTCAATGTCTAACCAAATGTAAATGGAGACTAAGCTCACACAATACACACAATTGTAGTTAAGAAAAATTGAGGTGGAAACTTTCACAAAGATGATGAGGTGAAATAGTTGCTACTTCAGACACATTACAGCAAGAAGAATGTTATTAGATGGTGCCACATCGATAGGAAAACTTCATCACTGCTTGCAAAACACATGGCCCAGGAGCCCATGGATCGATAAAACAATGTAAGAAAATCAGTAAATTTCCTTTCTTTAACCATGATTTTGCAAAATGGTAAAACAATGGTGCAAAATCCAAATTTACTATAATGTGCGCATATTCACAAGATATTTTTTTGGGTATATATGTGTATGATGAATTGATAACTAATGAGTGTTTCAATTAAGCTCATCTAAAAATAAATAGAAATTTGACATTATTTAGTAGTACCTTAAGGTACATCCTACAAGGCTCCATAAGGATTTGTTTGTTCAACACAGAACACTATTCAGCCTTCAAGGGCTTTTACCAAATTCTTTTATGCATTTAATATGATCACGTTTCGAACAAGGCTTTTCTTCAGGGAAACACAGGGAACCAGAAATGCAACCGACTTAGAAACCATAGTGGATTCACTTATTGAGATTAACAAGAACAGAATACGCTCAATGATCCCCAGTAAGGACTTCTCCTATCTTTTTAGTCCAACACGCTCAATCTTGGGGCTTATCCTAATTCGGGATTGCAAATGTAGTACAATATTCAATGCATTTCTCACAAGGAATTTGGTTCAATCCATATTATATACTACTATTTACTTACACGGCAATGCTAAGCAGTTTCACTATTTGGTATTCAAAGTCGCAACCCCGATATTTTAGGATGTTGAGAAATTGCGAATTAGAGTGAGGGGAACCTCATATGCGATATGCTAAAACGTAGGAGAATCACGAAACCGTGATACAGGTCTACCATATATACTTTAACATCTATAACACACATTGCAGGATGACATTTTAACATAACTACATAAGCAGCAAGCATGACAACTTGACAAGCAAGCTGCAATATATAATTACTTTTCCAATCACAATTTGAACATATTTCATGATGTTATTTTTCCTAGTTGATAAGGAATAGCTTCAATTTCGAGTATCACTCCTAAAAATTTCAATTTACACGAAATTTGAAGCATTTTCTACATGCTGCAGTTAAATCCTTAGTAGTGTCGAAATCAAATACCACAAAATTAATAAATTCAAAAGATTTAACACGTTAAACAACATTTGATTTGAATATCAATGATTCCATGCCAATTGGAATACCAATTCAATAGAAATATAACCTAAAAAATTAGGGAAAAGAAAACCCAACAAAATCGATAAAAACATCAATAAAATCAACAAAAACAGCATAATCATCATCGCTTAATAAAAAACTCCCCCAAAAAAACAAAACCCAGAAAAGATAAGCTCCTATATTCAACCCAAGATGATAAAAATGGCGGAAAATGGGATCTAAAGTGAAGTAAATTCATGGGAAATGGGAAAAAATACATAGAATTGAGGAAGAAATTACCTGAAGAAAATCTGGAATTGCAATCTTGGATGATTGTTAATCATGGAAAGAGGGTAATTGTGAGAGGTGAAGAGAAGATCTTTTGGTAGAGGTAGAAGGGGGTCCAAGTGTAAGGATGAGCTGATCATATGAGCCGTCGTAGTCATCACCGCATGCTCTTTATTAGCTATAGGTTTCAAACCACACTTTTCATCCCACACCGGGTAAGGATGGCACGGTCCGAAATAAGGATGACACGACACGATACGATACGATACGATACAATAAGGTGATAGATAAGATCGGTATGACACAATATGATACAATGCGATTTATGTAGATGTATTTAATACTATTTATGATACGGAACGGTATATAGACGTGTGTGTGCTTGTGGGTTAGGTATAAAATTCAATACAGTTTAAGAAATTCAATTACGGTATGATATGACTATACATGACAAAATTGACTAGAATAAGTGAAGATTGACTTAGACGTGCAAGCATGACATAGCGAGACACTATCATATATTCATATGTGAGTTTAAGTGGTAGTTGCCTTCTTAATATATTCTTCAATGTGAGACAATAATTAGTCTTTACATGCAATTTAAAAATGTTACAAGATTGTTTGTTAGGCCATGACATGAGGTCAAATGGTTTCTAAATGTGATATAACAAAATGACTTGCATAGATCTGGTCCACAATAATATTATTGTGGACCCGAGATTTATACACATGCAAATGACATTTTATTTAACATAGTGACCTTTACTTTTAACATAGTAACCTTTATATCCCGTAAAAAAAAATAAAAAAAAAATAAAAAAAAAACATAGTAACCTTTATTAAAACTTGTAAAACTTTTAATATTATTTGTGAACTTGAATACTTCCTCCGTGTTTTTTTAAGTGTTACAGTTTGACCGGCACATAGTTTTAGGAAATTTAATTGACTTAAATAAAATAAGAGGTAAGTGGGGTTGTTGGAGTATTAAAAAATTGTAAAATAAAGATAGTGCAGTTAATAGTTTATTGAAAAGTAATGAATGTGAGAGGAAAAATATAATTAAAAAAAGTATTGGTGGGTTTGGGTGGGGACCATGAGATGAGAGAAATACGGAGTATAATATTTTAATGTAATTTTTTGCCAAAAAAGAAAGTGTAACACTTAAAAAAAACACGGCCGAAAATGAGAAGTGGAACACTTAAAAAAACACGGAGGGTGTACGACGTTATGACCCTAATTTAAACATAGTGACTTTTATTTTTTCATATTAACCAGTATATAAAATATTTCATTAAAAAAATTAACCTCTTATAGCCTATATATTACCAAAATGACTTTTAATTCAACATAGTGACCTTATTTTTATTATAGTGACTTTTTTTTTTTTATTATTATTAATAAAACAACCATAGTTTCTCTAATATTGGTGATCCACAAGTGTGAACCACGTTCATTTAAGAATTTGTGGTGATATAAGGTGATTTGTAGTAATAGTTGTCTAAAGGTCGTGAGTTTGAGATGTTTTGTAGTGGGTGTATTAATGGTTGTTTTCAATCAAATATTATTAGGAACTAATTTTTTTTTTTTAATAATTTTTCTTACATTGTCAAATTGTTAAAGTAATATTCCAAAATAGTTAAATAGTAATGAAGTCTATTAAAGAAACATGAGAATTAGTAAGTAGTAACCACATTACCAGGTTTTCAAACTCAAGAGGTTAAAATATGTATTATATAATCATATTTACTAATTACCTTAGATCAAATTAGTCTAATGCTTCATCAAAATTACTTTCTCAACTTCAACAAATGTTAAAACTGACAATTGGATTAAAAATTGATTTTTAGGGGAAAAAAAAATTTATATAAAGTCTTAAATTTAGGGAAAATCAACCAATATCTCTATTGCTTTCCTCTTCTTTTGTAACATTATTGTCATCAATAGCAACTACTCCGTATATCATGTGACAAGTGAAGACGTATTTGTCAATTTCATACAAGATAATGACGATCTATAAATTTTATAATGTTGCATTAAATACGCACTCAAATGTAAAATTAAACAATTTTAAAAATCTTATAAACAACCTTTTAATTCATAGTTTTTGTACAAGATAACATTAATGAAAATTTTATTAGTCAACCATGGTAAATAAAATGTATTGTTTAGGCGGCCTTGGGGAAAATAATTCAAAGCACCACAAACAAACATATCGCCAATTTGTAATTAGAAGAGCATTTGTTTTAAAGGAAAATTCATTACTTATTTATTTACTGAAAGCTTGTTTGAGAGTCAATTTTGGTACATAGCCGTGTTGTATAAGCACCATACAACATAGAGTATTTTGGTCATTTTCAGTTATTTAATTTCTTATTTTCATATTTGAGCTTAACCCTTCATTCTTATTCCAAGAAAAAATATGAATTACTCATCGGTTGAAAGTACAAAAATAGGTAATAATAACCCTAAACAAATCCCCCCTCCCCCCCCCCCCCAAAAAAAAAAATATAATAAATAAAGAAACACTTTATTAAAGAATTCCAATAATTGACCATGTAAGTTACAATGTTATTGCTTTAGAAGTTTATATTGGTTGAAATGGTATTAAGTTAGGAATTTATGACAAAATCACGCGTCATTCGGTGTAATTAATGTTAATTTTACTTTAATATTTGTACTTTAATTCTCTTATCTAACGCCCCGGGGACGCTCATTAGCTTTTGTCTTTTACTTTATATAACGTACTCTCTTTGTTTTTTTGTTTAACTCATAATAATATATAAATAAAAACTGAAATTACTGTTCAAATCTTACCTGAAAAAACCGAAAGAAATGAGGAATTGAAATGCTTTTGGGCTTTGGCAATAAGTGAAAGTCAAAAAGTCTTAACAATCAAATAAAAAAAATTAGAAAAAAAAGGTCATACTTAAGAGACAAAGGAGTTGGGTTATTGGGTATTAAATATTTTACTCCTATTTTTAATTACTGTAAGTTGTAATTACCTAGGAGGCTGAATTTTTGCTAGGATTAACCTTAAATTTTCTTGGCTTCTTAATTAAGTTCTTTTTTTTTATTACTAGTCAGATTATAAGCATTTTTTTTTACTCTTCAATTTTTTATTTTATTTTATTTTTTTTAAGCTAAGTGGGTGCATGTGGGCCCATATCGGTCAATGTGGATCCGCAACTTAATATAAACCCATTTCCAACAACAATATTCACCAAATTCATTTTCTATCACTTTGAGATTAAACATCCTTTCTTCACCAAACCAAAACTAAGCTAACAAGTTAAGCCACAATGGTTGTAGAAAGTTACCAATCCAAGAGTGTATGTGTCATCGGAGCCGGACCATCCGGCCTCGTGGTAGCCCGAGAGCTCATGAAAGAAGGTCACAATGTGGCAGTCATTGAGCAAAACCATGACATAGGAGGGCAATGGCTCTATGAACCAAAAGTCGAGGGAGAAGATCCCTTAGGGAAAGCAAATAAGTTCCTAAAGGTTCATAGTAGTATGTATGAATCCTTAAGGTTAGCATCTCCTAGGGAGATCATGGGGTATACCGACTTCCCGTTCGTAGAGAAGAAAGGGAGGGACATGAGGAGATTTCCTAGCCATAGGGAAGTTCTATTGTACCTTAATGATTTTTGTGAATATTTTGGGTTGAGGGGCATGATAAGGTTTAACACTAGGGTTGAGTATGTCGGTATGGCCGAGTTCGCCGAGGTTGCCAAGGAGTTGAAATGGATGGTGAAATCTAAGGAGAAGAAGAGTGAAAAATTGGTGGAAGAAGTGTTTGACGCGGTGGTTGTTGCTAGTGGCCACTATTCTCATCCAAGGTTGCCTATAATTAAAGGTATACTTTGATCATACACTTCATTTATTTCACATAGTAACACATGGCTTAAAAAAAGAGTTAAAAGTACATAATAGAAGTGTACGTTAAGCATGCAGGAAGACAATTCTAGTAATAAACTCACTTTCATTACTCATTATGTTTTTGTTGCTTCTCTTTTGCATGCATTTTTTTGAAGGTATGAACTCTTGGAAAAGAAGACAAATGCATAGTCATATTTATCGGATACCAGATCCATTTCGCGATGAGGTAACTACATCCATATCATTTCCATCATTTTTTTTTAATAAAAAGAACGATAAATAAGAAGTTAGGATATTCTTCTCTCAAAAATAATACCATTTCAGCATTGTAGATCTCTAAACATCACATTTTTTAGCTTTGAAGCAACCTTTGACTATTAATTTTCCTCAAGATAGTCAATTCTAAGTCAATTGATGCCTAATATTTTATTCGAATTACGATTCACAAAACTAAATGCTCATATAATTATCTATACATGTTGCAGGTAGTGGTGATTGTAGGAAGTTCAATGAGTGGACAAGAACTATCAATGGAATTGGTGGAAGTAGCAAAGGAAATCTATCTCAGTGCCAAATCCCCAATCTCTGAAGGTTTCTCCAAAGTATTTGCCAACCATAAAAACCTGCATCTTTGCCCAAAGGTAAAATTGACACACAAAATTATAAATTGATTTGTTTTCCATGCCACGCCATCGAAAAATAAAATACATATCAACATACGGATTCAAATTACATATTTTATTTACGTCCACGTTCCACACATCTAATAACTAATGAACTAATGACCTTAAAATATAGATGATCAAATTTCGTCCTAGTCTCAAGTCTCATTCACCAATCTGAATTAAAACATAATGTTTAAACTTTTGGTAAATCTAATAAGTAATGAACTAATAACCTTAATATATAGACTATCAGATTCCGTCCTAGTCTCAAGTTTCAACCACCAATCTGAATTAAAACATAACATTTAAACTTTTGGTAAATTATACTGCAGATTGATTGTCTTGAAGAAGATGGAAGAGTGTTGTTTGAGGATGGTTCTTGCATCACTGCCGATACTATCATATATTGCACAGGGTAATATATCAATTCTATATTATTATTAATTTTTTTTTTCCTTTTTAAGTCATTAATTATTATGATTTTTTTTTTTTTTAATTTTTACAATAACAAGGCATTGATATATATATTTTGTCACACTAATGTTTGGGTGTGAGGATTTTGTCCACATTTATGATAACTTTAATTAATTTGGAATAATACAACAATTAATTCATCATTTGCAACAATTCAAATTATTATACTACGTATGTCATTACAAATAATTCATGGATGTGTAAAAAAGGAAATTACTACGTATAATAATTCATGGAGTAGGTCACTAGCCTATTATAATTTATAAACAATGAAAAAAAAAAAAACAAATTATTCACATCAACAACTCAACGAGTATTTTATATTACCACGATAAAATTGCTAAACAAGTATACATCAATGAATATATTGTTGAGTCACTATTAATATAGATGTTTTAACATATAGACTAGAAGATATCAATTTAAAATTTTCATAAATTTCTTTACGAGTATTATTACATCAATTGTACAGCTAGACAAGGACGAGTAATTTGGAGACTTGGAGTACTAGTAAAACAAACAATAATACTTAAAAATTGGAGTAAATATATATAGTCACCTGAGTACACCAAACAAACACCTGAGTGTATGTGTTACTAGCTTAGGCTTCTCAAGGTGCCATCCTTGTCCCAAAAGTGTGCAAAGGCTTGATGATTACCTAATTGGTACGGGAAGTCAAAGATTGAGCACTCTATGTAAGCATGCATCTTGTATTATAAGTTATTCCAACAATAGTATTATAAATCATCATAATAACAACATAATGGGACCAACTTTTTCGGATCATGGTGACATGCAAGTTTCTTAAGCAGGAAGTATTGCAAATAATAATATACAGTTCTTCAAGTTTTCAGAATGTTGTTATGAAAATGATGTCTGAAGAAAGTCGGAAAGTTAGGTACAGTTGTAAGCAAAAGAAAGTTTACCCATAATTTCATGCAACTACTACAACTTTTCTTTTGCTAATAAAGAAACATGATTGATGATTAAGATTAACCGTGAAGAGACTTACTGTTTACTGTAGGTATTCATATACATTTCCATTTCTTGACACCAAAGGAATCATTGAGGTGGATGATGATCGCGTTGGACCTTTATACGAGCATACGTTCCCTCCTTCGCTTGCTCCTTCTCTATCATTTGTTGGAATACCTAGGAAGGTATTAATTAATATCTTCAGATCTCCTGCAATGACATCAACAAATCATTTGGCCTTGTACAACTCTATCATAGTTTGAAATTTATAATCCTGCTAGTGTGACAACATATTTCTATATCATGATGGGTTTTGTTAATTGAATTAATAGATCATAGGGTTCCCTTTCTTCGAGTCACAAGCAAAATGGATTGCTCAGCTGCTGTCAGGGAAAAAAACATTGCCATCTTGGGAAGAAATGATGAAGGAAATCAAAGATTTCTATCAGTCCAGGGAAGCTGCTGCCATCCCAAAGCATAACACTCATGATATTGCCAATTTTGAGGTAAACGGACATGTTGTCTAACTAAATTTTCTTTTACATGAACATCAAATGCATTAAATTGCAGCACTTTACAGATTCTTCAGTGTTTCAAGTACCATAAGAAAGTCCAATAGTTTTTTCTGCTGTCAGTTACCTTTAATTATGCCTTTTGCTGCAGTACTGTGACCTGTATGCGGATAAAGTGGGATTTCCACGCCTGGAAGAATGGAGGAAAGAGCTATGTGTATCAGCTCTGATGAACGCGGAGGCTAATTTGGAGGTGTATCGTGATGTTTATGATGATTTTGAACTGCTTCAAGTAGCTCGTCAAAGTCCTCATTTCACTCAACTTGGAGCACATACATTTGAAGTATAAAGCAATACTCTGCTTCAGCCAGCTCAACAAATCAATGTCAAAGTAATATGCAGTAATATTTACAAAGAACAACATTCCACTGTTCCAGTGAAAGATTTGAGGTTGGCATATTTTGCTTTTTGTGTATTGATGATAGTGGTCACACAAAGTACTGCCCTGTATGCAGTTTTTTGAATGTTTATTAGTAGAGAAACCGGCAAAATTATGCCATGTCGGGAAAGCCTTCAAAAGGCTGTACCAACAAGACACAAGTGTTTTCCATTTTAAATATGAAAAATTATATTTGCCTAGCTAGTTAAGTAACTAACAGGGGGTGAAATAGCCTTACCCTTGCAAATCTTAGTCAGATTTGGATTAAGGCCTAAGGGCTCACATATCACCCCTATTAGTTGCTTAACTGTCAGGGATATATTCAGATTATTTGTTTAATTATTTTCAGCTGTAACATGAAAATATGAATTTTACATACTCGTTCAGATTCAGTATATATGCTCCCCAAAACACAGCCTCATGATGACTTAACAATGATTCCAACACCCGGGAATAGAAAAGGGTCCTCTCAGTCTCAGCCATAGGTGCAACAGTCACTTTGCTGCAAAAAAGATACTCAGCTTTGTTGTAAACCTATCATGCATAGCAACAGCACATTCCAAAATAAGAACTGAACTACATGCCAGCAGATGTCATAATTGTAATAACTTTAGGAGCAGGATAGTGGGGAAATCAAGGTTAATTTTTTTCTTTTTGGTTAGTTATGATCTAAAATAAGTAAAAGAGAAATTATTTTGAGCAAAAAAGAATATTGATTTACTTTTACCAAAAGATAAAAAGGTTATTATTTTTTGACAATTTTAGGCACAGTTGATCAGAATACAGCTTATTGTCACCATAGATGACCATATGCATAATGTTCCATAATAGAGTTTTCCTTTTCTCCTTTTTGTTTTTTACAATACTATTTTCCCACATAATAATCAGCAGGTCTGCCACAGACGTGGAAACATATGAATAGCAAAAAAAACTACATTAAAGTTGAAAGTTTCACCAAGGAAAAAGTACTTCCAAAACAGTAATCGAAGAGAAGAAGCAAGGGATTACAAATCCCACTTACCTTGTTGCAAAAGCTTTGGAAGTGGATGAACTCCAATATGAGTTCATGGAATTTGTTGAATCATATTCCAGCTAGTTTTTGTTGTCCATCTCAGTAAAATTGAATTTAATCTGATAAGAAGTGCTGCTCCATTGATTTTCAGGCAGCAGCTTCCTATAATCCATTTAATGCAATTGGTATATTATCAAAACTTTAAAATAGCCTCTTAAAAAAGTATAAAAAATACCGAGGTCGTCAGTTTGTGACACATAGTTACCTGTTCACAAGAAAACTTGGACAAGCAGTCCACAAATTAACAAGACATAATCATAGTGACATTGTAGCTCAGTAAGCATTTTTAATTGAAGGGGTTCAGGCATTACCAGAGCACTCTGATAATGAACTTTAAAATTTTCATGAGAGGTAAGCCTGAGTCATTTATGTCTTCTTGGCTTCGGCTTTCAGGTGAGATACCAATTACCAAGCTCCAGCCTATCCCAGAGAACAGAGATAGGTTAACTTTGGCAAAAATCTTATGAAGGTTAATATTAGGTAATAACTGATTTACAAAAGGAGAAGAGGCAACCAAAAAATTCTCTCTTCAACAAGATCATGCTACAACATTTCACTATCAGTAACACAGCTTGATAGTCTTAGATTCTCGGCCATACATGCCAAAAGTTTATGTATCTCCTCAAGTCCAGGTTTAATATCATATGATGCAACGAATTCAAATATTTCACTGTTGATAACAACTGAACTGTAGCCAGGAAGATTCTGGATACCTCTATCCTTAATAATTTCCCTCACTACCTCAACTTCTGCCCATCTTTGCTGTTGGATATATAAATTTGACAGTAAGAAAAAGTTATCTCCATTCTGTGGTTCTAGTTCAACGAGTTTCAGAATTACAAGTTCAACCAAATGGACATTTTCACGAACTTGAAAGGCACGAAGCAATGCTCTCCAAATGGTCGGGTCTGGAATCAAGGGCATGGTCCTAATTAGTTCCATAGCTTCATCAATTAAGTCACCTCGGCTGAGCAGATCAATCATACAACCATAATGCTCCATCTTTGGTTCCACTCCAAACACCTCTTTCATACTTCTAAAATGAGACCTGGCCTCACCAACAAGACCTTCATGAAAACAAGCCGATAAAACAGCCAAAAATGTAACATCATCAGGCTTATAGTCATCAAAAACCATGCTATAAAACGCCGTCAAAGCATCCTCTCCTCGTCCATTCATTGAGTATGCTGAAATCAAAACATTCCAAGTGCACACATTTTTAATCTTCATAGCCTTAAAAACCTTACAACCTTCCTCAAGAATCCCACATTTTGCATACATATCAATAAGAGCAGTGCCAACATATACATTCAACGCCAACCCATTTCGCCTTATATAGTCATGAACCCACCTCCCATGATCCAGAGCTCCTAAGTTAGCACAAGCCGATAATAGCCCCACCATAGTCACCTCCCTTAACTCTACCCCATCCCTCATCATGTCCCTAAACACATCAAACGCCTCTAAAAACTGCCTTCCATGTACATAACCAGTAATCAACGCGTTCCAAGAAACAGAATTTCTCTCAGGCATTTCATCAAACACTCTACGGGCATCATCAATCGATGAACAAGAACAAGAACAATACATATGAACAAGTGCAGTATTTGCAAACAAATCTGAACCAAAACCCATCTTAATTACGCAACAATGCAATGATTTCCCTAATCTACGACGACCCAAATTAGCAGTTGATTTAATTACAGCAGGAAAAGTCAATAAATCAGGGGATACACCATGTTTATGCATTTGTACATACACAAAAATTGAATGCCAATGTTTCTTTAAATGGGTATAAGTTCTAAGGACTGAATTACAAACAAAAGAGTCGAAAAATTCATGAAAATGAGAGAAAATAAGAGCAGAGGAAGTGAACCCATTTGAAGTAGCACAAATATCAATGAACTTCATAAGATAAAATTGGTCCAAATGTTGATTCTGAATGATAATTTGGGCGAGAATTTGCTTCATTTGAGAAGGGTTTGAGAGTTTTTCCAGAATTTGAGATGAATTTATGGAATTTTTGAGTGATAAAGATGAAGTTGAAAGTCTGAAAGAATGAATCCATTTCAAAGATGTTGCTAACTTGCCATGAAAGGGTTTCATCGCCCTAATAATTTGTTGATGTGGACACTAATTAGTAAAAATTGAGATTAATATTGTTAGAAAATATATAAATTTCAAAATTATGTTAGTTTTTGTAAATATTCCCTACATACCATCCCTATCACTATAAAATTAATATTGTTAGAAAAGATATAAATTTCAAAATTTGTAGTATTTTTTTTATTAGCGGTTTATTTACTTGAAATTCAGGTACACGAAACAAAATAAATGAAACCGCTAATTCAATTAGCGGTTTCTTTTTTATAAAACCGCGGATTGAATAAGCAGTTCGTTAGTTAAAAAAGTATATAAAAAAAATAGTTGATGACGTGGATAATATGTAGAGAATATTAGCAATTAGTGACATATTCTTGGAATTTATAATTTTTCCAACCATTTCTATGGAAATCACAAATAAAAGACCTTAGAAATTTCTTGTAATAGAAAGTAGAAGAAATTGATTTCTAATTTTTATTTTTTATTATTTTTTTTTAAGAATCGATTTCTAACTCAATCGGTCTTTCTTTAATACTTTCGAGAGTAACAAATTTAGTGGAAATTATTGACATATTCATACAATGGGATACTTTCAAAGTTTCAAACACGGTTTTGTGGTCTTTGCACTTTTATACTTTGAACTAAACTCAACAAAGTTATTCGTTTAAAGATCAGACTTGAAAAAGAAACATGTTTAAGAGCATGAATTACAAAGACGATATGTGGATGTCAACTAAATTAATCTGTTATAGTTGTCAAGTTGTGTTGTGGTATCTAGGACAAGAACAAACTTTGTCTACGTCATTTTCCATTACGTATTCTATATTGATGACAAAACAACAAGAGGTGTATAATAATCTCCTATAAGTTTAATTTATAATCAACTTAACACCTCAATCCTATCAAGATATTTTTTGATATTTTATTTATTGGTCCTACTTCAGTTGTATTTGCATTGGTATTCATCAGACTCATTACCACTAAAACCATTTCAAGATTAATTATTAAATAGACAACTAATTGAATTATTTTGGCTTTTATAAAGTATTGGCACTCCTCTTATACATTGTCTCAGAAGCTGTCCCTTTCTTTCCCTTTCCAAAATTTGCACATTTATCTTATTGCTTTTATTCATACCTTTGGCAGTATCACAGAAAGTCTCACCAAGAGAAAACAAAAGGTTATGTGCTGCAGTACTAGTAATCTTATCAATCATTGTTAAATACCAAAAGAAATTTTGATCTATTTTTCCAATTTCAAGATATACAGAACAGCCTCTCTTCGCTAGCTTTCTCAAATTTACGTCACAAATAGGCGTAATTCGACAGTCAGCGTTACAAGTGACAGTAGACTAAAGCACCACATCTATTATTCAGACATGGAAATAATATCAAAGCTCTATATCCTGCCCTAAATCATGATCCTAAGTTAACAATAAAAGAGAGGGCCATTCAATCAATAAGTTTGTAAATACATGACTTTTGTAATGGAAACTGCATACTTCTGTTATAATAATCCTGTCATAAATCATGCCCGAGCCATTTTGATATAGTAGTAGGACTAGCAGGACTTCTTCGTCCTCTAGGCCGCCTGTTGACCTTACCCCAGCTGATAAGAGCAGTCAGTTCTTGAACTTTATCATCAAAAGTCTGCTGCTTGGCCACCCGAGGTTTTCTTCCCGTTCTACAAGCTCTCCTTGTCTTACTTAGACTCCAAGGGGTACCTGCTGCTTCCATTAGCCCTTCTATCATCATGATATCCTCAGTAACCTCATACCTTGATAGAGAAACAAGAGAAGGCAGAACTTCCCTTTGGAAGTCCTTCCTCTTTGATCTTTTTGTTCTACCCCTTCTTGTCTGGCAAGGCAACACCGTCGAGCAAGTCTCATTCGAGATTTGGACATTGTTTTTACACAAAAAGTCTTCCGATTTCAATTCAGGGAGTTCCAATGTCATTGCCTCAAAATCATCAATACTACAAGTATCCTTGCAGTTAATTGTGTCGAAATCATTCTCTAGGTCGGAGGAAAGGGAGTTGATTAACCCAGCAAACCATTCTAGATTTCCACTTACAGAAGATTCACATTTTTGCAAGTCCAAATCCTCTTGGTAAGATAGAGAATTAGACGAAGAAATTGATACAATGGCATCAGCTGCAATCTTTGCAAGTTCCATAAAGCGGTCACTACCCTCTTCTGACTGATTATCTTCAGAGTCTCCCCTAGGTGGGGAGCACTCCTTTACTTCTGGGCTAATAGGTGCCTCCAAATCAATTTCTAACTGAGTTTTTTCCAAAGAGGGTGACTTAGGCGGTAAACTGTCATCATTCATACAAAAATTCAATTTCAACCGACCTGAGTTCTCATGATCATGTACGGTTTTATCATCTTGAATAACTGGCTCTTCATCACATGGCAAGTTGATATCAATCATTCTGCATATCTTGCTCCTTTTCACAGTTTCAGCTTCAGTGGAAAATCCGCTATTTGATGTATCATCAGATGGTGTAAATTCTGAATTTTCCATCACATCAGAGTTCAAATCAAAGCCATTTAAATCAGAAGTTTTGGATGACGTGCAAACCACTGATTCTTTGGACTTGAAGTCAGAACAGCTGCTTCTTAAGGACCTAGCTACCCTAAAATTTGGACTACACGGTACACTAGCATCGACCTTATTATTAATAAGCCCTTTCCGTCTGCCACAGTTTCTAGCACCTTTACTGCTGGTTAGTTGGTTGTCAAAAGAGGGAAGTGCTTGAACAACAAGAGGATTCTTCCCCAAACAGTAGGAAGGCTTTCTCCCAGATGTAGCAAAACCCACCTCAGATATACCCTTGTCAGATTGAGCAAGAGGTTTCCTTGTCACATTATCAGCAATACCACCTGATATAGTATTCCCGATATTAGACAGATCATGATTAATTTCCGAGATTTCCAAGAAAGAGCTAATTCCTTTGTCCCCACCACTCTCTTCCAAACAAGATGTCGCCAGAGGTTCATTTAAGTCGGCCAAAGTAATTTTGCTCCCTGTAATTGAGCAAGGACTGAGATGCTCTCCTTGCAAAACAGGACCCAATGATCTCTTTGCAGTGGAAGCCATTGCAGAAGTCTCAACCACTACCTTGAACCTTTTATTTGAAGGCAGAGTGGTAGGAGTAGGAGTAGGAGCCTTTGAGAATTCCATATCTTCTATAGATCTCTCGTCATCACTGTCAATGTACATCTCAGCCGGAAGCTCAAGGTCTAAAAGCTTTCCTTTAACTTTCTTGCACTTGGATTCTGCAAAGTCTAGACTTTTGAAAGTGCCACCAGTCTGTGAAGCAACGGGACTTACAGGTGGTTTTGGTTCATTCAAAAAACTGAGAGATGCCGGATTGTTATCTCTACCTGTGGAATATGGTGTATACTGAGAATTAATGAATGGAACACTGTAAAGAGTATTTTGACCACATCTAGATGAGATCTTTGCCGATGATGAACTTGACCTTTGGACCTCTATTTGTAAATGGCTTATATACATTTCATTATTTTTTACTTCATCCATCAATTCCTTCTGTCTTCTATAAAGCCGATGCAATTCTTGAACCTGAAAGCAAAAAAAAATTAGGGAGTGAATCAATAGCTCATTTTTTGTCATTGGTACGGTCAACTACAACTAAAACAAGAAGGTATATATATATAGATAGTTGGACTATACTACATTTCAACCGCATTCATGCAAGAAATGACTTCTAAAGTAAAAGGTCAAATTTGAGATCCTATCCAAACTTTTTAGAGTGCTTATCAGTCCTCAAATGATATGATAGTGGTCCTTATTTTATTTAGGAGGGAGTTGAAAAAGGCGAAGATCATGAAACAACGCAAAACAAATTTCTTGCTTCCCAAACAATTGACAACATTACTAGCGCTTAAAAGTAGGAACTAAGCATCCAGGGCAAATGCACAACACCATACATAGTAGACGTTAATACCGTTCAGGCCGTTCACCCTTAAGCATAGACAAAATAACAAATTGAAGTCAATGAGATTCAATAACATATGGTAAATTGGTAGCAAGAAAAGATAGCCAAACTGATTTTTACAAAAATAACACCTTGTAATGATAACACAAATTCTATACAAGTACTGACTAAATGAAAGTTTATAAATCATCAAGTCTACACTCTATACTCCACCTTCGTCGATGATAATCAAATTTGGTTCATATAACCAACCCCACTTGTGGGATTAAGGCTTTGATTGATTGATACTCTATACTCCACATTTCAACTTCAAAATATGATAAAATAATAAAAAGCTTGTGATGAAAATTCAATGAACAGAACATCATAGACCCCAAATTCTATATGACTATTACTGTATGAGATTGAACCGCCCTGAGTAAGGTTCTACGGTACCTGATCCTTAAATGCAACCTCATGTAGGACCATTGTCCGGCGCAACATTTCCTTATAAGCAAGCTGCCCTGGTGGTGGAACCGGCGAAAGTGGCACAAAATCGTTGTAATGCCCACTTCGAAAGGTCCCATTGCCACTAATCAGGGGCGTCGCACCACCATTTACATCGACATTGAGATCGTACTGTGAATTATACACAGGTAAGTAGCTTTGGCACTGCATTATTTGCCCTGCTCACAACAATGTGCAACTGTGTTAAGTGTCAATGAATCAAATTCATCTAGAAACAAACTAACAGAAAGTTAGTGGTAATTATAAACAAATAATTTAAAGTAAAACAAATCAAGCTTCATTTTTGAAATTTAAAATATCACACAAGATTTAATTATCTTCAACAACACCCACAACTTTTGTATGAACATGTACATGAAAAGTGTGACACATATCAATTTCCTCTTCTTAGTTAAGTTAATACTCCCTTTGTCCAAAATTAGTTGTCGCATTGACAGCGTATTTTGAAGTAATAATGTGACAACTAAATCTAGACGGAAGTATTATGAAATTATAGCTTCTTAAGCTACCAAATTATTAGCTTACAAGAACATTTTCTAAATATAGATTAA